CTCATGGGGCTTTTTCGAAAAGACTATGAATTTCTGAATCATTCAAATTTCACTCATGTCAGGTTTTCAAAGAAAGAAAGTGGACCGTGGATTACTGCTGTGGCTAATGCCCAGAAGCAGCTGCATGCAAGAAAGCGAGTTCACCCAGCACTCTTTCTGCTTTCAGTGGTGTGAATCTCAGCCTGAAAGGACTGAAAGGGACTGATTCGAGCCATTGATGTTCCCAAACATGCAGCTCTCAACGATGGCTTCATCCTCTCGTGGCGCGTGTGGTGATATGATTTGATTTATCAAACATGGCAAGATCGTGTTGGAGGATGTGTGATATGATTTGATAGTGTTGGATCATGCTGAGGAATGTTGGATGATTTAGGATTCTTGGCGCAAGGTCGCGACCGACCAAGGTTGGGAAAGAGCTCTATGAAGCGGCACAGGCATTGTACACGAATCCGAACACAACAAAGACAATGAAAGCCATGAAAGCAATGAAGGCGATGAAATCGAAGAAGTGATGCGTAGCGGCGTGGCGATGGTTCGTGACGATCCAAAGATTCGTTGGCCGTTGACGCCGAGTGACGATGAGAGAATCTGGCAGATAAACTCTGCATCACTTGGCGTCAGAGAATCTGATTGCAGATATTGCAGGTTTAGGTGCCTTCCTTTGACGGGCTTCCGGCTTCGAGACTTTTAGATATTGGTAGTGTTGGTGGTATTGAATTTATCACACTTTAATTTGATCTTTGAAGTAGATAGGTTAACACACTGCTGGAGATTTCGTCACGTCTCACGTATCTGACCAGGCTGCAAAAAAGGGATGGGAGGCCGCAGTTTCGGTTTATGTTGAGAGGTTGGAAGGCACCCAGTCTTTCTTACTATGCCATTGTGCAGCTGTATCAATTTTGTTGGGACCACCGAAGTATCAAAAGTAAAAAAGACTTCACAGATTCATCTTGCTTTGTCTAACCTTGTCGAACCACCTCGAAGTCTTTTTTCTGCTGGGCCGCTTGGATATCTTGGATGGTATTGTGGTCCCGGTTTGCCACAGCACAACATGTCTTTAGCCGGAGCTGGCTGAGGTACGGGGCCAACATTCAGCAGGACATGACGATGAGTTGGGCGTTTTGGCTGCCAGGCCATTGGCTGCAGCGGCTGCGTCCTTTGTCCTTTTTCAGACCTCACATTACGTGTTGATGCGTGTTGATGTTTGCTCAGGGCATTACGTCACATATTTCTGGCTGAAGCCCTAGAGTGGTTGCAACTTTTTTGACTGAATCCACAGTGCATTTTCACTTTCAAAGCTAGGATTGGACTAGAGTCTCATGGCAAAAGATTGCTAGGCATCTCTTTGAATGTGATTATTTGCCCTTGTGTTCACTTTATTGGAGATTCATGGAGATTCATTGTACCCATAAGGAGCTCGCAACAGTGTCACTTTATCATGAATCCACCTGAGGCTACCAGTGCATCTTCGAGTGCCCAAAGCTCAGATTGCAGTTGCAGTACAGCGATGTACAGCGGCTTCCAATGCATCCTGCAGTGCACACTTGAATCACATGAGTTACTTGAATCATCTTGAATCATCTTGAATCATCTTGAATCATCTTGAATCATCTTGAATCATCTTGAATCATCTTGAATCATCTTGAATCATCTTGAATCATCTTGAATCACTTGAGCTTTTAGATCTGTTTGATCTTTTAGGCCTTGGGTGGCGTGTGCTTCGTTCATGTACGTTTGTAACGATCTCAGACTGAGAATCTCTGAGACCTGGGACGGTGACTGTGAAGATTGTGAAGATTGTGAAGATTGTGAAGATTGTGAAGTCAGATAAGTATAGAGAGAGAGAGAGAAGTCAGCTGTGCCCTGCTTCGATTTTGGTGATGGTCTTGGCTTTGCCCTTCAACTGTTTTTGGAGGTGCGTTGAGCTACACAAGGCGAGAGACTTGTCAATGATTTGAGCATTTGTTGTGGAAAGTAAGGACAAAGTGGGAGCAGCAGGTGTATTTTTTTTGCTTATTCAGTCGTGAACCTAGCCATTGCTTCCATACGACACTGCGAGGGGCAGCAGCCACGTTGGTTGCAAAGCGATATGAGCTCGCTGAGCGCCCTTTTGTACAGTAAACACTGAGGACAGATACTAAGGCATTGTGAGTGGCAGCTGAGCTGGAAACATTGTGGCAAGATGGTCTTGGATAGTCTTCTGATACCACTTGGCACTCCTGTTTCAGTCCCATTCAGTCCCATTCTGTACATTTTCAATCATTTTCATACAATGTTTCCATGCACAGCTCTCGGACACGAGGATCCTTGGACTCGAAGCCCTGTGGGGACCATGTCTCGTATTTCAAGATGATCAAGATGCATCAATCGCACTTGATTTATGTCTTCTACTCAATTCTACTCCTACTTCTCAGCTGTGATTCGCTTTCTCATCTAATTCTTATGACAGGCTCATAGTGTAATTCTCACATCCTGCTTGCGTGCTGCAAGCAGGTACTCCAATGGATCTGGAGAAAGTTACGATCGTGGGAAGCCATGATCATACTTATCATCCTCCAGAAGCTTTTTTTTATATGCTATGTATCAGCTGTAGGATTCTGTAGTCAGGCTGATTCAGAGGTTCCAAAACCTTCCAATGAGCACATCGTTCATGCCCAGCTCAGATATCATTTCTCCATCTCTGAAAGTGGCCATGTGGGGCTCCAACATGCCATCGGAGGGGAAGGAAAGCCTCAGGAGTTTGGAGCCTAGAATAAGGCTCATCCATTTGAACCCCTGCACTCAAGTTGCGAACTGTAGATAGGAAAGGCCAGGTGTGTTCTAGATTCTCTGTCTATTGCACGATCATTGTTGCAACATACTGGCAAGCAATGGTAAGTTAAAGGTGTTTGTGTGTGGTGTTATTTGTCTTTGAGATATTCATAAACATCAAATTTATTGAAGTCTGCGTATTAATTGCGGTTAAACGGCATTAATAGCGTCTAATGCGTCACTAATTGCGCATAAGTCTACTAATTATGTTTAATGGTGATTACAAAGTGCGTAGAAACACTTGCTAGATTAAATTATATCTTCGAGGTTCCTAGCTTGGTTAGTTCCTAGCTTGGTTACGGGAGGTTACGGGAGACTTAGATTCTAGAGGTTCCTATGGTTACGGGACACTTATCTAGAGGTTCCTATGGTTACGGGATGTTACGGGACACTTATCTAGAGGTTCCTATGGTTACGGGGACACTTATCTAGAGGTTCCTATGGTTACGGGATGTTACGGGACACTTATCTAGAGGTTCCTATGGTTACGGGATGTTACGGGACACTTATCTAGAGGTTCCTATGGTTACGGGATGTTACGGGACACTTATCTAGAGGTTCCTATGGTTACGGGATGTTACGGGACACTTATCTAGAGGTTCCTATGGTTACGGGATGTTACGGGACACTTATCTAGAGGTTCCTATGGTTACGGGATGTTACGGGACACTTATCTGGGATGTTACGGGACACTTATCTAGAGGTTCCTATGGTTACGGGATGTTACGGGACACTTATCTAGAGGTTCCTATGGTTACGGGAGGTTACGGGACAGAGACTTAGATTCTAGAGGTTCCTATGGTTACGGGACACTTATCTAGAGGTTCCTATGGTTACGGGATGTTACGGGACACTTATCTAGAGGTTCCTATGGTTACGGGATGTTACGGGACACTTATCTAGAGGTTCCTATGGTTACGGGAGGTTACGGGACAGAGACTTAGATTCTAGAGGTTCCTATGGTTACGGGACACTTATCTAGAGGTTCCTATGGTTACGGGATGTTACGGGACACTTATCTAGAGGTTCCTATGGTTACGGGATGTTACGGGACACTTATCTAGAGGTTCCTATGGTTACGGGACACTTATCTAGAGGTTCCTATGGTTACGGGATGTTACGGGACACTTATCTAGAGGTTCCTATGGTTGCGGGATGTTACGGGACACTTATCTAGAGGTTCCTATGGTTACGGGATGTTACGGGACACTTATCTAGAGGTTCCTATGGTTACGGGATGTTACGGGACACTTATCTAGAGGTTCCTATGGTTACGGGATGTTACGGGACACTTATCTGGGATGTTACGGGACACTTATCTAGAGGTTCCTATGGTTACGGGATGTTACGGGACACTTATCTAGAGGTTCCTATGGTTACGGGAGGTTACGGGACAGAGACTTAGATTCTAGAGGTTCCTATGGTTACGGGACACTTATCTAGAGGTTCCTATGGTTACGGGATGTTACGGGACACTTATCTAGAGGTTCCTATGGTTACGGGAGACTTAGATTCTAGTGATTTTCTAGTGATTCTAGAGGTTCCTATGGTTACGGGAGACTTAGATTCTAGTGATTCTAGAGGGTTTTCATGGTTACGGGAGACTTAGATTCGAGTGATTCTAGAGGTTCCCATGGTTACGGGAGACTTAGATTCTAGTGATTTTCTAGTGATTCTAGAGGTTCCTATGGTTACGGGAGACTTAGATTCTAGTGATTCTAGAGGTTTTCATGGTTACGGGAGACTTAGATTCTAGATATTCTAGAGGTTCCTAGGTAGGTTACGGTTACGGGAGGTTACGGTTACGGGAGGTTACGGTTACGGGAGACTTAGATTCTATAGATATTCTAGAGGTTCCCATGGTTACGGGAGACTTAGATTCTAGTGATTCTAGAGGTTCCCATGGTTACGGGAGACTTAGATTCGAGTGATTCTAGAGGTTCCCATGGTTACGGGAGACTTAGATTCGAGTGATTCTAGAGGTTCCCATGGTTACGGGAGACTTAGATTCGACTGATTCTAGAGGTTCCCATGGTTACGGGAGGTTCCTGGATACTTAGATTCTACACATTCCAGAGATTCTAGAGATTCCTAGGTAGGTTACGGTTACGGGAGGTTACGGGAGGTTACGGGAGGTTAGGGGAGGTTACGGGAGGTTACGGGAGGTTACGGGAGGGAGGTTACGGTTACGGGAGGTTACGGGAGGTTATACGGGAGGTTACGGGAGGTTACCGTTACGGGAGGTTACGGGAGGTTCCTGGATACTTAGATTCTACAGATTCCAGAGATTCTAGAGATTCCTAGGTAGGTTACGGTTACGGGAGGTTACGGTTACGGGAGGTTACGGGAGGTTACGGTTACGGGAGGTTACGGGAGGTTACGGGAGGTTACGGTTACTTACGGATACTTATAATTCTACAGATTCCAGAGATTCTAGAGATTCCTAGGTAGGTTACGGTTACGGGAGGTTACGGGAGGTTACGGGAGGTTACGGGAGGTTACGGGAGGTTACGGGAAGGTTACGGGAGGTTACGGGAGGTTACGGGAGGTTACGGGAGGTTACGGGAGGTTACGGTTACGGGAGGTTACGGTTACGGTTACGGGAGGTTACGGTTCTAGGAATCTCTAGAATCTCTGGAATCTGTAGAATCTAAGTATCCAGGAACCTCCCGTACTCGTAACCTCCCGTAACCTCCCGTAACCGTAACCTCCCGTAACCTCCCGTAACCTCCCGTAACCTCCCGTAACCTCCCGTAACCTCCCGTAACCTTCCGTAACCTCCCGTAACCTCCCGTAACCTCCCGTAACCGTAACCTCCCGTGACCTCCCGTAACCTCCCGTAACCTCCCATAACCTCCCGTAACCGTAACCTACCTAGGAATCTCTAGAATCTCTGGAATCTGTAGAATCTAAGTATCCAGGAACCTCCCGTAACCCCCCGTAACCTCCCGTAACCTCCCGTAACCTCCCGTAACCTCCCGTAACCTCCCGTAACCATAGCCTCCCGTAACCGTAACCTCCCGGAACCTCCCGGAATCTCTAGAATCTCTAGAATCTGTAGAATCGAAGTATCCAGGAACCTCCCGTAACCTCCCGTAACCTCCCGTAACCTCCCGTAACCGTCCCGTAACCTCCCGTAACCTCCCGTAACCGCCCGTAACCTCCCGTAACCTCCCGTAACCGTAACCTCCCGTAACCTCCCGTAACCTCCCGTAACCTCCCGTAACCGTAACCTACCTAGGAATCTCTAGAATGTCTAGAATCTGTAGAATCTAATAGTATCCAGGAACCTCCCGTAACCTCCCGTAACCTCCCGTAACCTTCCGTAACCTCCCGTAACCTCCCGTAACCTCCCGTAACTAAGCTAGAACCTGAGTCTAGAATCTCTAGAATCAAAGGAATTTCTAAAATCTCCAAATTCTCTAGAAACTCTAAAATCTGAGGTTCTCGTAACCTCCCGTAACCTTCCGTAACCTTCCGTAACCTTCCGTAACCTAGCTAGAATCTAAGTGAAGAATCTCTAGAATCTCTATAAATCTGCCGAACCCGTAACCTCCCGTAACCTCCCGCAACCTCCCATAACCTTCCGTAACCTTCCGTAACCTCCTGTCACCTCCCGTAACTTCCCGTAACCTCCCGTAACCTGCGATTAATTTTGAAATATATATATATAATAATTATATATATTTAATATAATATATATATATAATATATACAACTCTTCTGCGCTTGGAATGACCTGGTTTATGCGCGCTTAGTGACCCCAACTTTTGCGCTATTAATGACCCAATTTTACGCGCGCTTAATCCACAGTCTCAAATTTATTGAGCATTTATATGATTGACTTAAAGCTGGCACTCCTCTGGCGGTCTTGCGCAGACTGAAGCCAAAGGCAGGTTGCGTGGCCGTCAGAATGGGGTGCAGCATTCGCCTTCCAGTTCCGTCTCCTTTTTTCAGGAACTGATAGTTTCTCCCTGAGAAACCGTCGGCTCCAACCGGAGGGACATTCCGTTTGCTGCACCTTTTGTTGTGCGATGTGGCCAGCCGACCCACAAACCCTGGCAGAGGCGCCCAAAGAAGTTTCCATGTGATGAGTTTCCTTTGCCTCGGGTAGAAGTGGACATAAGAATGACATTTAAGAATGACAATTCCGTGGATATAAGAATGAGATAAGTGGACTTGTATCTTAGGGATCTTACGCCATCCTTTCCTCGAAGCCTGGAAGGACACATCTTGGCAGGGTAAAGAATACTAAAGATACAACTGACAGAGACTCATGAAGCAATGCTGAAGAATATGGAAGTTCCCAAGGAAGAATCATTTGTTCTACAAATCTCATGATAACACTAAACTGCCAGGTGAGGTTCAGCAAAACGTGTTCCTCTCCCATGTTTTTTCCAGATTGGTCTATGTTCAGGCACCAGCATGCAAGGCTTGAAATATATGTTGATAACCCTCCTAACATGTAAAGTTTAGTCCTGCCACGTACCCTTTGTCCGCCATGCTGTTCAACTGGTTCAAAATCATTTGCATGGCATGCGGAGACCGTTTTGAAGGCTCGCGGCTGCCATGGGGTGCGTCCGCCTTGTTTGACTTGAAGATACTTGAAGTCTTGAAGCGAAGTTTTGCGACGAAGTTTTGCGGTTGGACGGTCTTGCAGCTGCTTTTTGGAGCTTCGTGGATCTTTGTGGAATTTGAGTCTTGCCAGGGCCAAAAAGGATGCCAAGGTGAGGGTGGCTGTTGCAGCTAGGATTTGCAGTGATGTTGGAGTATGTCGGGGTGGCAACTTCTGTTGATAGAGATTTGCATTTCGGGGGCTAGTTGTTTCTTGGGTGTGAAGCTCTTGCGATTGCCCAGGAATATCCAGGAATAATACTCCATGCGATTCATGGTGGTTGTTGGTTTCAGTGCAGTATTTGCCATGAGCTTTTTATTCACCCCGCTTCGCGTGGGGTGGCCGCCCACACCGCAGGTTTATTTCGGTCCGTGAGAGGGGCTAAGGGTGGTTTTCCCCCGTGGGGGCTCCCCAAGCTAAGAATTTTCACTTTCCCCCCCCGTGGGGGCTCCCCAAGCTAGGGAATTTTCACTTTTCCCCCCCGTGGGGGCTCCCCAAGCTAGGGAATTTTCACTTTTCCCCCCCGTGGGGGCTTCCCAAGCTAGGGAATTTTCACTTTTCCCCGCCGTGACAGCTTCCCAAGCTATGGAATTTTCACTTTTCCCTCCCTTGGAGGCTCTCCAAGCTGCGGAATTTCAAATAGCTAGACAACGACGCCTAGATAGTCCCCCAAATCCCGTGTTCTTTGAATGTGTTTCCATGTTTTTGCAATGGTTTCCTTCAAAGCACGGTACTTTACACTTTTGTCGCCATAAAACCGGTCGAAAACATCATGTTCGACAATGCTTCCAATTCCCTTATCTCCCCAACCGTTGAAAATACCGCTATTTACAGTGTTTTCTTCAATTTTTCCATGTGCCAATGCCGGTAGCCAACTCCAACATATATATATAGAAATCCTTCCAAAACATTTTTTTGACAGTGTTTTTCCAATGTTTCCAGTCAAACAGACGGTAATTTACACGTTTTTTGCAATAAAGGCAGTAAATCCTTCCAAAACATTGCTTTTGACAGTGTTTTTGTAATGTTTCCAGTCAAGCATACGGTAATTTACACGTTTTTTGCTATAACGTCAGTCCAAAACACTTGTTTTTGCAGTGTTTTCAATGCTCTGGCATCCAAAAACCCTGCAACATCTTGCTATGTACAATGTTTTTTTCATTTTTGGCCGTTTTTCCATTGCCGGAAAGCTACCAAAATGACCCAAAATTCCATTTCAATACCCTCTTGCGCTCAGACACCCAAACATCCTCGAAAAATGCCGAAAACACCACCGTATTCTGGTCTCGGTGCGAAACCGTTTTTGGCCCCCCCCAGCTAAAGCTGATATAGCGACTGCTATATTAACAAATGTCATTGAGCATTTAGTGTTGCTGTTGCCCCCCAATAAGCACGCCTTCACCGCCAAAGCGGTGTGGGCGGATTTTCATGAGATTCTGCATCTATGCTACGAAATTCCAACTTTGTTTGGCATTTGCTTCACAGGTTTTGATTTCCATTTTGAGGCTCAGCGCGGACGCAAAGATGGACAGGCCAACGAAACGAAGTCAAGACGTCTTTGCGTGTGTTTGTGTGTCAACTCTGTGTCAACTCTGTGTCAACTGTGTGTCTATGTTCACATCTGACCGGAACTGAAGCCATTACGGAAATCCAACTCCTTGGATGGTTCATTTCCTGTCAAGGCAGAGGACGTGAACACCTCGGCTTTAAGCTTTGATTTACACAGGTTGCACAGGTTGTCTGGTTGTCCCGGACATTTTGATGTGGCAAACTCTCCGGTTTCAACTGAGGACGCAGCGAAGTCCGATGGTTGGAGCCTCGACTTTTGACAGGTCGAAGATGTTTCTTGAAGGTCGACTTTTGGCCTTGTGATACTCGTGAGGTCCAGCAAGTGGCAAGGGGAAGCTAGATGGCAAAAAGGCAAAGGACCGCTCTTCAGAAACCACATGTCCCCAAAGTGATTCAATTGTCAGGTGTTGATGGATGTCTGCAAGCTTCACATTAACTTGACATTTGCTTGACATTCGTATTCGTATGTATTCGTCAAATTCTACACTAGCGACTTGGTTTGCAACCTTGCGCCGGTAGCCGGAGGAACGAGGGATGGATGCCTTCGAGCAGATGGAGTTGCAGAGGTGACTCGGTGCAGACTCAGTGCAGACTCGGTGCAGATCATGCTCAGAGTTGCCAGTGTCAGACCGTGTGAGACGCCGATATCGGCAGTGATTTGATTCGCACAGGCAGCGCGAGTCGAGACAAAGAATAGTGAGGATCCGAGAATCTGAGATTGTCTTGTTAAACTCATTAAACACCTTTGAATATTTTTGAAGCCCGGAAATGTTCATGGCATTTGTCACATGCACATGGCGTCACTGATTTCAGTGATTTGCGGTTCCACCAATAGCAGGTCGACCGCTTCCTTCGGCTGATCCTGGTGGGTTTTCTTCTGGATGCCCTCAAAGGCTGGCCATGGCTGGCCTGATTCAGCGAAAACCAGACTTGTCGACTTGTCGCACTTGAGATGACTTGAGGAGGTGATGCTGATGGTGCCAAAGATGAGCGGAAAAAGAAAAGCCTGGGATCCAAGATCTGTGAAAGATATGATAGATATGGGAAATTTGGCGAACAGTAGAACAGAGAACTCAGAGAAGCGGTTTTCGAAGTAAGTGGAGAGGTATCTGATATCTCTATCTCCCTCTTGCTCTATATCTCCCTCTCGCTCTTGCTTACTCTCTCTCTCTCTATCTCTCTGTCACTCTCTCTCCCCTCTTCCCTTCTGGTCATGGAGCCTTCTTGAAAGGTTGTTTCAAAACATTCAGAAAAAACATGTTGAACTTGTGCTAATGTTCCTGGATGCTAACATGCGGTTGAACACAGGTAGCAGCAAGAGCTCTGGGTCAGAAGCTTAATTCAAAGGAAGTATAACATGTGGTCTTGGTCTATGCTAGCCACAAAGGACACGTCACAGCATGGCAAAAACCAACATGCCAGCGGAGCAGAGGGCATTTAATCCGTTTTTAATCCGTTTTTAATCCGATGAATTCAATCCTGTTGGATCAGGTCCGAGGGCCTCAGCGTGAAGTCCCTGAAAGAGAAGGCCAACACTTATGGCGGTCCAGCAATTATGCTGGCGTTCATCATAGCAATGTGCTGTCCCTAGCATGTGTGTCCCAAGCATGTGCGCGAGAGGGGTATTTTTCCCATTGACTTGCCACTTGAAGACTTGGCTGCCAAGTCTGCATCCATTCTTGCTGGGGTTGGAAGATATCAGCACAGCCAAGAGAATTTCACAGATCATTGTCGAGTCCACTCCTTTGCTTTGCCAAGGCTTGCAATTCGTGCTGCAGAGGAAGGCACGGAGCGCTGGACCCAACCTGGTCGATCTGGAACTCTCTGTTGGATCATGTCTTCGCAAGATTTCGCAAGTATCCTTTCCAAACTTGCTGAAACTTCACAAAGGTGCACAATCATTGGTGGGCCCCGCTTCTTTCATTTTGAAAGGCTACCATCCAGCCGATCACGACGAGCACGAGGCTGAAGAACTAGGGATAGTAACCTCATGTCTCTCCTTTGTAAAAAGCTGTTCAAGAATGAAACATTCCTGTCACCAAAGTGACCTAGCTGCATCCATCAGTGCGCTTGGACCGGATGAAGCCTTCTGCCCCTGCTGTTGATGAGAGCACTTGGCTGACAGACATTTGTCAAGAGCCCCCTGCCTTGCATGAATGCCTGTTTCACCTACTCTTACATCGCTGCAACTGCTCATCCAACTGTTTGCTTTGAACAACAGCGCAGTTTCCTTCTCCTCTTCCTCTTCTTCTTCTTCTTCTTCCTTTTCTTAAAGATGATGATGGTGATGATGGTGGTGATGATGATGAGGATGACGATGAGGAGAACAACCACAAGAATTGCACAAAGTCATTTCAAAATGGGAACACGAGTTGGCAATGAGTTTGATGATGTCCTAAAACTTCAAACAACCTACGGCTATTATTGGGCGCAAGGTTTATCTGCAAAATGCCTGGCCATTAATTGTTTCGACAAAGACTCCGGCCAGTTCAACTACTACGAAGTCATGGGCTTGACCAAAGGCAAGGAATCGGTACACAGTCACAGTCCAGAACTAAATGAACATAGCGAGTATGCTTTGTGTACCATCGCAGGTGTAGACCAGATGGAGATCCGAAAGGCATACAAGGCTCTGACCACAATCTGACCCAACTAAAGCTAACAAAGCTATCCATCCCAGCCCGTTGTTTTCAACGAAAATGTCCTGCAGCATTTCTTGGAGCCTGGAACATGTTGAGGCAGCTGAGCCATGTCAAAAACAGTGGTTGGTCGATTGTTGAAGGGGACCATATTACCTGGTTTAATGATTTTAATGGTGATTATGGCCGACTTGCTGCCAGGTTTTTGACAATGCTCAGCTTATGGATACAGCCAGAAACATTATCAACAAACCAGTTTTTGAAGTGCAGGCGCTTGCCCTCAAGTATCACCCCGACAAGAATCCTGACTGCTCCGAGTGCAGGGCACTCGTTTGACGAGAACTGTTTTGGGATGTTTTGGACAAAGTTTTGGGCCACCCTTGGGCCATCTTCTGTTTGATCTGTTTGATCTGTTTGATCTGTTTGCCATGGCTGTGAGGTGCGGAGAAGTTTGGGAAGATCTCGAAGGCCTATGTCTGGCCCTTGGCTCGCCCATGCCGAGAAAGGGGTTGACGGGTTAACAAAGAGATCAGTTGTGACTTCAAGATCTGGGAATCACTGGGAATCACAGCTTTGCTCCAAGGATACTTTGTCAAATGTAGAGGCAAGAAAGGTTCGCCTCCTTGCACCCAGCCTCCCTCAAGACGCAACGTCTTTATTTTTTGATTTAACATGATTTAACCATTATTTAACCTTTGGCCTGTTGAAAGACTGGGAACTGAGAGATTTGGCGCCCATGTTGCATGATGATGTGCAATTTCCGTCTTCCTTGAGATCAACTCACTATCATGTTCCTCAGCACACTATGACATGACAGACACGCGGACACACACACACACAGACACTCACATGCACCAAGTCGTACCGAAGCAAAAAAGCAACATTAGACTTCTCCAGAACAGCTTGAACTTTGCAGTTCTAGGCAATATTTCTCAGAACAAGGACAGTCATCTTGGCTGAGCCCCAATGGCATGCAGCGTCAGCAATGATGCTGATACGTCCCGTATTGGCTTTGCCAGAGTACCCTCGCGTTTGAGATTGAAGGATGACTTTGAAAGATGAAGAGTCTGACATCCAATCCACTCTCTCAGATGCTCCTCCTGATTGGAACTCTGATGACGAGCCGCCAGACGATCACGTGGGCGATGAAAATACGTGCAGCCGTGATGGTGCTGTGAGGAAAGTAATCCAGAAGGTAGGCAAAGGTTTGGAGCGGCCTGGCCAAAATGACATAATCACCCTTAGCTTTTCTACTCTTCAACTGGATGGCTCTGATTCTCTTCCCAGCCTGAGTAACACAACAGTGGAGATGGGAACCAATAAGCTGCCCATGGCCGTGGAATTTGCTGTGAAGCACATGCGTGTGGGAGAAGTGTGTGAAGTTCGGGCTCCGGCTGTCTACAGCCTTCAGACCTCGCCATTGTGCGGACGCAGCCTACGAACACAGCCAGGGGTCTTGCCCAAGACGGACAAGGTGAAGAGGAGATATCGATTTCTGCCCGCTGCACCAAGAAGTGTTTCAGAACAGGTGCGGCAAGTGCAAGAACTGAAGCAGTTGGCACAGTCTCTATGTTTTCTTGGATTTACTTGGTTTGGCTAAACCAAGCAGACTGGCCTTAAGCTGTCAGGCAAAGAAGGACCTGTTAAACTTTCGGAAGGCAAAGCAGGAGGTGCAGCGCTTGAATTGAATTGTGGTCGCAGGCAACGGTTTGAAGGTTAAGGCCATTACAATCTAGGACTTCTGTACCCTTTGCGACTGTGGCATGCCTTCTTTGCCCTGTTGGTCACAACATTGACCGGGACACTCCCATCAAAGTCACTGTTATGATTTGGAAAACAGGGCAGAAGCGCATAGATGTAGGGATCAACTACCCACACAGTCAAGACATGTGAGCAGATGTATATAAATTATATAAAGGCATCAAAAAAACACAGGTTCATCAAGAGTTCGTCCAAGTTCATATCGCTGCACCACCAGATTCAGGCGACTGAGAAAGGCGAAGCCTTTGATGCAACTTCACCGCCGATGTTTCGTGCCAGTGTTGAGCTGCTGAGCATTACCTGCGTCTTGGCACTGACAGAAGACCGTAGCGTCACCAAGAGGATCTTGCAGAAAGGCTCCTCAAGACGTCAGCCAGACACTTGGAAACTTGAGTGTTATAGGTGATGGCAGGTATGCACAGGAAGGTACAGGTTGTATGAGCAGTGATGCGCAGATGTGACAGATGTGACAGATGTGCAGGAGCGGGTTTTGAGCTATGTTGTGTAGTTAAAACTATTTTTTTTCCGCCATCATTATAGTTCTGCCGATCAAAGAGCTTCGACAACAGTGGTTGCAGTCGTCGAAGTGGAGATGCCACAGGTCAAAACTCTTGTCCATGGAAATTTTGCCGGTTGAATCACAGTGTGTTCTGAGGCCAAGAAGGGGCGATGTGCAGACCTCAGCTGTCTATAGAATTCCTTATAGATACTTACTGAGTTTACTGTAGATTACACATTGGATTTTCGCGTGGAATACTTTGTGCCAAAGTTGCAGGTGATTACTTTTTCCTACACCATCCATGGGGATGACAATGCAAGGAAGGGGAGTCGTTGAGCACATAAGTAGCCTTTGGGCCTTTGACAAACACGGCCTTTTTCCATGCCTTTTCCGACGATTATTTTGACCTGGCAGTCGCGTGCTCGGAGAGCGATACTAGGTTACCAGGTTGACAAGGAAAATAGATGAAACTAGGGTTTCACCAGGCATCGTCCTCTCCTCTCAACACGCACTTTTTATGTCCTGCCAGGAGTGAAACTTGCACGCTGACCCTGGGGAAGGCCTTCATCAGCACATGTTTCAATCTGGCCTGTTGCAAGTGATTCATCTCTATAGCATGCGGTAACCATCGTGTCACAACACGTACTGCAGACCCCAAACGATACAGAATCTTTGGAGTGTGTCAAACTGTGTTTATATAACTGGCTTTGCAGTTGTTAAGCTTGAGGACAAGCTTCCATTCAGCGGTCTGCGTCATGTTCTCCTTTCCATGAAGGCCCCCTTGCGCTGATGCAATTACTTGGAGTCTGAAGCACTTCACTTATCCTGAAGTGTCCTTTCTCTGTTCACTTTATTTGCTACAGTCCAGGAAGAAGAATGTTGCCTTGCGCCAGCCCCGCTTGGTTGGCTGACTGTGACAAAATTGCAAAACATGAAAACCAGGACAGTGGAAGGACGGGGAAGGTTCAGGCATTCACAGCTTTGCGGCTTCGCCGATTTTGCAGCTTTTTCATTTCTGTTGTTTTTGTTTGTGCAGTGGGCTTGCGAATTAAAAAGCCAGGCGATTGAGCTCTACTGCTGCATTGCCAGAGGGAGAGGAGTTGAAGTGATTCAAGCGAGTAAGTGAATATTTCTTTATGACAATGAGCATAATGAGCATGGTCACCTTGGCAACCTTTTCAGTGAGCCGCCCAAATTTAACTTGTTGACAGATCACCTGACATTTTGCAGTGCATGAAGTAGTGCCCATGAAGGATTTTTCAGAGACGCACGAGCCTCTGCTGCCCAGCTGCCATGTCCGTTGCTTCCCTACAGGGCTGCTACACGATATATTTTTGATTCGTCTTGATTCGTCTTGATTCGTCTTGATTCCTTATTGCAAGACTTTGCGATGCTTCAAAAGCAGTGCCATCAGTATATGAGTATACCACTCATGGAAACTACCCTTTAATGGAATCTCCATTGCCTTGTTGGCACCATTCCTGACCAATGGAGAAGCTTCTAATACCTTGAGTCTTATGCAAGCAGCTAGCCCCTCGGAAGCCAGGGTCAGCTTAGCCAGAACCTCAGCCTTTCCATCAAACATCCCAATGTGAAAGCTCATGCGCTTGATCATCTTAATCTTAGTTGTCACTGCAGCGGATTCGATTTGTGAGGAAGTCACGCTGCTGCGCTGGCGAAGACGGGATCTGCTTCCGGTGGGTGAGGTGCGACATCTCTTGGGGGGTTAGGGCGGGTAGGGAGTCCATTTTGTTTCAAAGGAAGCGATTTAGGGACAACGTACAAAGCTTCCGACCTTGGATGACTCGGAGATTTCCATTTGGGGGCAGTATGGCTACCACTTGTGTCAAGTGTGTGAAACCGTCTCTCAGCCGGGCTCAAGGGTAGCCTTCGACGGTCATGTGGAGGGAATTCTATTGTTCTTCAGAATGGCTGCTGTGGTCCTGGCTCGGAATCCTTGTGATCTCTGCAGGCAGCTGGTACCAGGTACATCTGGACGTCAGGGTGAATACTTGGTTTGGTGACTTCTACGACTTGCTGCAAAAGGCTCTTTCCAAAGAGGGCGACGTTTCCCGTGAGGAAGTCTATGGCTTTATCTTCACCTTCTCACGTATCGCAGGAATTTACATCGTCGTGGCTGTGCTCTTGGCCTTCTTCACCAAGCACTGGACATTCCGGTGGCGGCAGGCAATGAACGACTACTACATGAAGCATTGGCAGGTGCTGCGACGAACTGAAGGGGCAAGTCAGAGGGTACAGGAAGATACTAGTCGATTTGCCATTATGGTTGAAGGCATCGGTGCGTCCATGCTTCAATCTGTCTTGACACTTGTTGCCTTCCTACCAATCCTTCTGGAGCTATCTGCTCAAATTCATGAGCTTCCTTTGATCGGAGAAGTTTCAAATGCCATGGCCCCTCAACTGAAATATCGACTGTCCAAAGCTTTGCTCTTGCACGGACTGTATTTGCTTCACGGTGGTTCTGGATGGCTTTTAAGCTCACTGGCATGTATATATATATATATGTATGAGTCCGGACTCCGGATCCCTGGCCCCCCCCCAATGGTATGATCCCCCAAGCTCACGCTCTCGGGAACACTGGACATGGGACCATACATACATACATACATACATACATACATACATACATACATACATACATACATACATACATACAGACACACACACACAGACATACATACCTATCTACCTACCTACCTACCTACCTACATACCTACGTACCTACGTACCTACGTACCTACGTACCTACGTACACACGTACATACATACATACATACATACCTACCTACATGCATGCATGCATGCATGCATACATACATACATACAGACAGACAGACAGACATACATACATACATACATACATACATACCAAGATACATACCAAGTTACATACCAAGATACATACCAAGATACATACCAAGATACATACCAAGATACATACCAAGATACATACCAAGATACATACCAAGATACATACCAACATACCAACATACCAACATACCACCACCACAGGCCACAGGGGGGGGGACCAGAAGAACCATACCACCATCCCAGGCCACAGGGGGGTGGGGGGGGGGCTTGGGCGTCCTGGGTCATATATATTGTGTTGGTTTTATGCTCAGGCATCTAGCCTCTGAGTTTTGACAACCATGGTAAGGTGAAAGCTACCATTGTCTGGGCCTTGCTCGGCACTGTGGGCTTGGCGCTCATCGGCATTCGACTTCCTGGGCTCGAATTTCAGAATCAGCTGGTGGAAGCTGCCTTCCGCAAGGACTTGGTGGGTTGAAACCGAGATATGCAGACAGCTGCAGACAGCTGCAGACAGCTGCAGACAGCTGCAGACAGCTACAGACAGCGACAGCTTTCACCAGTTGTTGTGAACAAGTTGTGCATGTTGTGCCAATTCGTTTGAGGCATGTTGAGGCACGTTGTGGCAGGTTGAGGCACCTGAGTAGTTGGCCATCATAAATTGTTTCGCTTTCTACCTTTCTCCGTTGAGCACTGTTGAGCTTTCAGCCTGGAGGAGCTGGTATATGGTGAAGACGACCAGCAACGTGCAGAACCGGATGTTGTGACAGACCTATTTCAGGCAGTTCGTGACAGTTACTTTCGGCTTTACTTCAATTTCATGTATTTTGATGTTGCCAAGCAACTTGACCTGAAAACATCCTGAGACATCCTGAGACCCCCTGAGACCCAAGCCTGGGAAACAGCAGCTTTGAATTGACAGGTTTCGCATGGTGTCTTTGCGGAGAGAGTAGCCCACGAATTAAATTTGCAACATATTTGAAAGACGTGTCCAGTAGTGATTCGGAATTCCAAGCCTGTTCAATTTTTCTGTAAGAATAATCAAGTTTGAAGACGTGTCACCTCCACTGAGGTATTCTTACTTGCAATTTGGCGTTGTTTTGCCCTACATCATCCTGGTGCCGTGCATCTCCAAAGGTGGGATCACGCTGGGGTCTTTGCAACGACTTGTTGGCGCTTTCAACAATGTGGAGCGATCCTTTCAATTTCTGGTCCGGAACTGGGGACAGATGCTTGCCGGCATTGCAGAAACCGACTTTTTCCGTTGAGTGATGCAGACAGCATTTGCCAGCATTTGGCACCATGTTTGATGTTTTGCTGCCAAGGATAGTAGATCTCCTCTCAGTCGCTCGGCTAAGTTCAATTGAGATCAGCGCAGTGGCCAGAGTATACAATGCACTTGGAAAAAATTGGAAAGAATATCTTTCTCGTGGCGCTTGCCACCTGAATCACGGGGTTTGTGGAGCTTTACCTCTGAGGTCTACAAGAGGCTGAGACAGTTCAGCAAAAGCCTAGCTGAGGCTGGGCTGGGCCAAAGTTTGCTCTTGACTCCAGTGACTCCAGTGTTTGAATCTATCGGATGCATTGCAAAAAAATGCAAAATACCTTTTGGGTTGCTTATGTAGAGGTGCATTGCAATGTTTCCAGGGAAGGCATCCATGGAAAACCACGGGATTCCGGCTACAGGAAAGGGGAGACTGGGGCTTGCGACTCTCTGCACTTTGCGGCTACGATGTGACTTGCCTGAGTGAAACATTGAGACTCTTTAAGCAGAACCAGGTTGCAACATATGTTTGCGTGCAACGTTTCCCTCCTGAGTGTCTGAACCTTGGCTTTTAAGGATGTCGAAACTGGGTCCACAGAATCCAAGTCGCCCGGTTGCATGAAGGCAAGTCCTGTCAAAAGAAGAGGATGCCCTATGGCCGCATGGTGCTCTTATATACTATAGATTCCAAAAACTGCAGCCGCCTGCAATCGCTTGAGATCCATTGTTGCTTGAGATGCTGCTCAAACGCTTTGAGACCTCCACTTTGTTGGCAGCTGAGGCCCGATTACGTTGAGTTGGACAATATGACAGATGGATCAGCAGATTCGTCCAAGTCTTTTGGAGACCGATGTTACCGCTAAATTCAGAGGATTCAAGCTGCTTGGACAACTGCCACCTTACCGGAGTACCTTTAGACGGTTAGAGTGCTCAGATGTTCGGAGCCCGACTGGAGAATAATTGCAGTACATACAGTATGCTAGCAAGTCCAAGCAGTTGCAAATATCCGGAGTTTACAGTGCCGGCGTGCCAAACTCTGGCATGCCAAAGGTGTGCTGTACTCAATACCTTGGACTTCCACAAATGCAACTGTCAAAGCGACAGACAAATTTGTCTGTCCAAACATGACAATGGTCTTAGTCCGCTTAATGCGTCGCTGAGCGAAAAATGGAATGAGCAGTCGTAAGTCGTTGTGGGTACAGGATGCCATCACACCTTTTCTACTTTGCATGCACGCGGTCCAGGAAAGAAGAGAAGCTGGATTTGACCAATAATCTTTTTCCCTGCCAGGTTGATACGCCAGCTGGTGGAGGTGGGAGAAATCTTGGCTGAGTTGTGTGATGTAACACATCCATTTTGAAGCAGCTTAACACCGAAACACCCAACAAGCTCGCACCCCAGTGGAAAATTGAACAGGTTCTGACGCTTGTGCTCTACTGTCCTGGTCTTAATGGTACCAAGTCGTTGCCATTAGCTGTATCTTGTCTTGTCACCTTGTGACTTCTTTTTGCAGGGCAAACGTCTTGCTAGACCAAATTGGAGCCCTTCTGTCTGGAAGAATCTGATCTGCCAGAGGGCGAGCTGAGGAAAACCGAAATCCGCCAGGGCCCAGAGCGCAGAAGCCATGACGTTGAGGCCAGGAAAGGATCCAGGAAAGGATCCAGGAAAGGATCCACCCAGAGACAGCTTTGGACGGCTGGTCCGATCGGTCCGATCGGTCCGACTGGCTTCCATTTGTCTTCCAGGCAGGAAGCATGGTCTTGGCAGCAATGGTCATCGGTGAAGGCCACAGATGGGACACAAAGAATTCACCTTGGGATGATACTGGGATGCCGTTGTGCACAACGGATCGCAAGACAGGAGAAGCATCTCTGCTATCCTGGAGGGTTGGTGAAGGAGTCAATGCCTCTGACGTTGAGAAAGAGTTTGGACTCGTTTGGACGTTTGTGGACCACATTGGACCCATTGGAACTGCCGATTTTTGCCCAGGCTGTGCCCGGCTACATGGACGTAGCAGTTGTGCTTCTCTTGGATCTTCCGAAATGCCGAAAGCCTGTCCTCGAAATCTCAAAAGGTTGGAGCTGTGACTGAGGCGAGCATGCGCTTTTGTGAGAGTGCTGCTTTTGAAGCCTCCCAAATCGTGCAAACCTGTCGTCCAGTAGGCCGAATGGAATTGGACGGGACTGGAGCAGAGGAAGACTGTGCATTGATCATGTGCTGTTGATGATTGAAGCTTTGGAAAAAGCAAAACGACTCATTTGCCTTCTACGAAAGGTCCGAGCTACGAAGGGCAAACGCCATTGTCGTGAACTTGGAGAGTGGATGATTGGATGATTGGGCTTAATGCCTCAGTGGGCTTTGGTGTGGCTTCAGAGTATGGAATGGGCTGAAAAAGGCAGCGTCCGTTGCAGCAGCACTCCTTGCCAGTGAGGCGAACCCTCAAAGTGAGTGCCCTTGACCCATGGCCAGAAGCTGAACTGAGCAAAACTTGGAAATATCCGTGTCTTTTTGTACCATACCATCAAATTATCATCAGATTCTCATCATGTATACATATATATACATATTTTGGCTGAATCTTTGAACTGTGCCTGATACTTAGGTTGGTCGACTTGTTGAAGGAGCAGGAGGCAAAAGGATTTTTGACCACACCCGAAACGCGCACGGTGCGATCCTGGCAGGTCGCTGAAGATTCACCCAAAGAAGGCCAGGTGCGCTGAGATTGCCGAAGACCATCGAAGACATAAGTTCAATTGGTACATTCAGATCCGTCTATACAAAGTGATCCCCGCGCAAATATCCCCTATAAAATGAGGGGGGCCAAGGTCTGCTATATTTCGTTTTATGAGCTTCCAGCTGCAGCCCCTTTGGGGGTAACTCCCCCATTTTATAGTGGTTTTCATGTTGTAGCTGAAATTTAGCCAGATTTGTTCAGGTTTTTGTCTAGTTTTTTGTATAGATGATACATACATAGGGGGTTAGGACGGGTGGCCTCACTCCTCGGCATTTATAGACACATCTGGTTGTCGATCATGTGTTTCTTTTCATATGTTTCTTGCGTTCAGAAATTGTCTAAGCCAGGCCATTTAAGCACGATGTCTGTCTATCTTAGTCCATTTTAAGCCATCTTGCAAATGAACGCAGAAGAATGCCACAGTATCCCTCCCACTTCAAAAAGATTCAGGAGGGATATGTGGAATTCTGACGAGATGTCTGAGATGTCTGTGTCCATCTTCTGCTGCAACAGGAAACCTTTTGAAACCTTTTGACAGCTGTTGATTTTTGCATGGGTAACCCCCGTGCAAGTATACAAAGTGCATATTCACAGCATTGATGAATATACTGTACATGCATGCATCTATGCATTTATATTACTACTTGCAGCTCTGCAAAAAGGCGCACTTCGTGCTTTCACTTGGAGAGCCTGCGGCTTTTTGTCAGGAGCTTCAGCGCAACCGTTGCCCATTCCGGCTGACTGGACCATGCAGGGCGAAGTGAAGAGCTGGAGTGATCTCAAGTTGTCAAAAGATGGCTGTGACTCGTCTGCACATGCCTGTAGGAAGGTGGGTTTCTGCGGGCAATTATATAAAAAGAGGGGATAAAGGAAGGGGCGTGCTACAATCTACAGTAGCACCTGCGAACCCGTGAAGATAAAACACAGGAGGCCAAGACACATCAACTACTGTGAAACATTAGTCATTTTTCTCACATAAATAGCAAGTCAGCACATGTTGTGAAACAACTTTGAAAAACTCTCAAGACTTTTAGGTGCAGGTGATTCTGTCCTCTTTGCATCATTCTAGATCGTCTCTTCTGGGATTCGAGATGATTCTGATCAGACAAGTTTGTATTTTGATTGCGCACTCCAATCTGCTGCTTTTGCCGAGGCTTCAAGCTTGTCTGATTCTCGGTTGTGGCAGATGCCTTACTTCCTTTCGATTCCATGCATTCCATGGTAAACTCAGGTCTTTCTGGCAGCCACAGAAGCTGTTGATCTCTGCCTGCTGGACTGGGCAGGGCATGCCAAATTGGCTTGAGTTTTTTCAGACAGCACGTGTGCGATGCCCACAGAATGCATTGAAGACCCATAGATTCCATAGATTGAAGCAGAACCATATTTGCCGATGCTTCACAGAGTGCTATCAATTCTACATTCCTTGCAGCCCAAACTTGGCGTCACCAAGCCCAACCCCCATGGTGAAGGAAGAAGACGGGCAGTTGCATTTCTTGGAGCTTGAAAGGGCGCACGGCAATGTTGGGATACCAGGTATTTCTTGGACAAGCACCTTGATCCCATTGGCTTACCATGATTTATAAGCCCTACCTAGTCTAGTTTATCCTGACCAATCTATAGCATTCAAATGCATTCAATAAGTATTATTCAATGATATTCTCTACCCCCAGCTGTACCTCTTCTCTGACGACAGCTTCAACGAGTGTCGAGGCCCTGGCGAAAGTGGGCCGCTTCGAGGAAGCCTCTGAGGCCTACCGACGAGCGTCGCTGGGACGAAACGAGCGCCACTTCACAGTGCTGGTGTTACCTCAGATGACTCAGATCTTACAGCAGATGTAGTAGACATTTCTAGCATTTCCTAAGGGAAACACAGGGAAAGCAGGGAAACTGCATTATTAGAGGCTTCCGGGTTTTGGTTTTGGACAAGTGCATGCTACAGGCGGTCGGAGGTTGCGAATTCTGAACTTGACATTCATCTGCACACCGATCTTCTGCCAGTCAACCTGCACCATAAAAAGTGAGCCCAAAATATACATGCTGGAAAAGCTGAGGCTAGATGCAGTACGGCATGGCTCGCTGTACAAGGCAGGTCCGTCCAAGGGATCGCTGCGACGGCAGCGGCGTCAAAATCGTCAAAGTAATTTGGTGAATTCCAACTTCGTCCAGGAAGCCGTCCGTTCCCGGTTTTCCGGTTGCTTTGGCACTAGGAAAAGATCAACTGCCAATTATTTTGTTAAGTGAATGGCGAGCACAAGCTTCTTACCGGCTGAAGCAGCAGGCACTCTTCCCGACCGAGAGAGGCCATATTCAAGGCAACCTTCTGGGCAACGGAAGCAGTCGACATCAGTCGACAAACTTTGGCAGAAATACAGTCTCTTCTGGAGATTTCTGGAGTACAGAGAGGGAACGCAAGGCAGGTGGAATCTGATGGAATCTTCCTGGATTTCTCAGACAAACACCACTCTACCCGAGTGGTTTCGGCGTGGCAGGAGCCTACTCACGTGAGGCATTTGAAGGTGAGCATCCCTTGGAGAGAATGTCTGAAGAGGAGGCGAGGATGTTTCAAAGAGGCTCCCACAGTCTCCCTCTATGCCCTGCTATGCCCGGCTATGCCCGGCTATTCCCGGCTATGCCCTCGTAGTCACGTGTATCAGTGACTGTACAGGTACCAGCATTTGGAGGGATTCTGACGGGTGACAAAAACGAAGCGACTCGCGCAGGTTTCAACGCGGCGCGGCCAACTGGTCGCCCTGCACTTGAACCTCTCTCTTTGCGCGACCAAGGCCTGAGAACGGACTGTAAGGTATCAGACCACTGTGGTGAGCGGAAGATCTATTAGGATGTTTGTTTAAATTGGCTTGTAAAGCTTATATACTGTATCATACTGCATCAATTTTTGCTTTGATGGGATTGGCAAGATATGTTTTTCACTCTTGACTTGCAAACCCTATTTACTGCAGAGCAGCTTTGTGATAGCGCTCTGGAACGGAATGAACAGTGAAACTATTTGTGAATGCCTCAAAATTACACACCCCGAAGAATGGATGGTCAAATCAAATCCATAAACGGCCAATTTTGTGGGTCCATTGGTACCTCGTTTTCATTAATTAAACTAGTATATAGTAATTTGTAGCTATAGAACAAGAGCTAAGGGGATAGCAGTGCCGTGAACATTCTTCGAACCTTTGATGATCTGCCGATGTGACCCTTGAACTTGATCAGGCGGGACTCTATGCTCTTGCGAGGCGACATGCGCTTTCCTCAGCAGATCACAACCCCTGAGACAGTTGCGATTCAGTATGCGCAAAAGCTCTACTTTTTGGGACGTTTTCCACAATGAAGAGATAATGAGATCTGATAAACTATATAGAAAGCTCAAGCCAGCGCAACAGATGTTTCTCTTCTCGCTGAAGATTTCACACCAGGGGAGATTAAGTGAATCACAACTCAGGCAGAGACTGCGCTAGGCAGCATGCTCAGACCGCTTGTTTTCTTATGTGAAAATTCAAGCAAATCTTGCCAAAGCACGTCACTGCCTCCAAGCTCGAAACGACTATGTGCAACGATTATTTGATACGTGCGTTTGATGTTGTGTGGCTCGGAGCTTCACAATTTGTACGCACAGCTTTGCTTCAAATCCACAAGGGTAAGCAATCGTATCCTGTGGTGTTCTTGTGAAGCACATGTCATGAGACTAGACGTCTAAAGCTACAGTCTTTTCTTGAAGTATTTTTCCGATTTTCACAGAAAGCCTGAGACCAAGAGGTGTTCCGGTATTACAAGCATGTACAAGCAAGACGAGGCTTCGCAGCATCCAGACAATGAGCTGAAAAGGGCACTTTTGTACACCTGGTACACGTGACATGCAAAGCCAATGGCGTTCGATTTTGACGACATGGAGGCTAGATGGACATATGATGGACATATGATGGACAGATGATGGACAGATGACGGACAGAGGAACAGGATGCTGCAGATAGAGCCGAGCTTGCTTTTTTAACTCTTGGACATCGATGCTTTGTAGCTCATTGACCCAAAGAGCATGTTTTTCTTTGCGTCGACAACATAATTGCAGCAAACTCATACATTAAGTATGGAGCCTATATATAGAGCTCATTTGGTCTAGAATGAGTCCCAAGCGAAACTTTAAAACTCTAAGGTGCTCCTGAAATAATTTGGATGTCGGCTGAACTCACCTGGGCGAGGCAGAAGCCCAGGCTCGTTTGGAGCAGGGCGATGAGGATGCACGTTTTCTACTTGGAGTAGAGGTGCCAGACAGCTGGAAGGGCGGGCTCCTTGGTGATGCACAACTTGGATGTCTCCAAAAAGTGGCGGCTTTTTGGGTTCCTTATTCACAAGTAGATACAGCATGATACAGCTAGGATACACCGCCAGGTATATATAGATTATGATCAAATATATGATGAATGGTTTGGCGACGCTGCGACATGTGTGGCTGGGGATCCTGCTTTTGGAGGTCTCCGTTGCCATGGTGGTATGCAGTGGTATGCTGAATAGTCCTTGAGTCTTTGGGTGAAGTTGTCAGATTTGTCAAGATCAAATTGCAAGGACTTTGCCGCCGATGCGAAATGCATTGGACCCTGCCACAAGAAGTTTTCCAGCTCGGCAAGACCTGGCAGAGTACCTGCAGTGGCTTGGCCAAAATCATGGACAAAGGCGAAATCTGTGACATGTCCGGATTGGTACGGCATCCTTTGGCATCCTTTGGCATCCTTTGATCTGCTTTCTATCTTAGAACATCTTGAAACAAACTGCAGGCCGTTGAGACTGGAGGTCACTGAGCCCTTCGATGTTCGGGTTAGACTCTTTGCTTTTCCTGGGGCTGGTGATAGTGTAGCAGCTTGGGTTCAATTCGTCAACAAGGCCTGGACCTGCTATGTTCCCATGTTCCCTTTCCTTCTTTTCCTCACCTTATTTCGAGGTTGATACAGGCAGGTTCCTTATGTTTAAGTATGTATAATATATTTTAAAGTTACTTTGAGACTATTTTTAAGACATGACCCTGGAATAAATGTTGTGGCTGGACAGGTTCCACCATGGATCGACGTTGCCATTTTTGAACGACCTGGGCATGGACAGCGCTCCTCTCAGCCACTTGCGAAAATGTTGGTGGACGAAGCCAAGGACGGAGCTTTCAGTGATCCTAATGCACTGTCAGTTTACACACCTTGCGTATGTCCATGACATGTGTTACATGATATCCATTGATATCCCACACACACACACATCCAGTCATCCAGTTATGTTACTGTATGTCTCAAGCACCAATCTTATCATATGGTGTTTGTGCGAAGTTTGCGCACGTTGACTGATTATTTATGACTTTGACGAGCTTTGCTTGATCAGCCCATAGGGTTTTATGCCATGTGCTTTGAACAACACAAGACACTTGGAAGTGGCAAGCTACAGTGTTATTTCTAAGCGCCATTCTTTCGACAGGAGGCATTTGAAGCGCTAGCCAGTGTTTTGGCACCCCATGCCAAGGCCCACTTGTGCAGGTTTGTGGTTCGTTCGCTCATCGCAAAGAGACCGCCGTCCACTGTTTGATTTTGAAAGCAGAGTGGCAGTGAGAGTATTGAGATCCATCTATTGCGAACTTCTGAGGGAGGCAGCTTTGAAGGCGCTCCGTTCGCTCTCTTGGGGCATTCCATGGGATGCCAGCTGATGGCTGAGGCTGGGTGGAACGACTGCAACTGCTTGACTTTGGAAAATGTCACCTGATACTGATGCGAAAACCAGCAATTTGAATGTAATTGACATATCATTATGTGCTGACAAGTTGTTTATGGTTGCAATTGGTTGCATGTTTGTCAATGTAGATTCCTGGAGTGTTGGATGGAGCAGATCTCTGGGCTTTAGACTGTGGCTGGTGCGCAGTGAGTGTGTTTACTGCACACGGTGGCCCATGAATGCCAGTACTGCAAGTTTTCAGAAAGATTTGCCAAATGGTGAAAGATGCGTCAGCACGACGCCACCAAGGCATCTTGAAGTCAAAATACGTTTCTTTTCCTTCGGGGAGCATGCAATATTTTAATATATTTGCATGTGCATTGCTCCTAGATAATCCACATCTTGACAGTCACAGTATCACAATACCCTTCACGAGCCATGGCGTTGCGTCCCTGGCGCTTCCGCTCGTGGCCTGCTAAATATCTGAGCCGAAGCTTCGGGTCACGCACAGATTCACGGGAATGGAAGGAAGAACAGATCGCCATCGGACAGGAACGGATCTTTGGACCCCAGGGCAACATGCCAGGTGATCGACAGCTCCGGAAGAAGCTGGAGGGTCGAAAGCTCATGCGATGGTATTTTCCATCCAAATACAACCTCCAAGATTTCAAGAATCAGGATTATTTTGAAATGCACCAAGAACGTTTTGCTCCCAGAGTCAATCATCAAAGCATCAAACATGTGGAGGAGACCTTAGAGAAGATCCTCCAAAATCAGGAGAAACTAGAAGAGTTCTTCAAAAACCTCAAGGAGGAAGACTTCCTGTCAAATCCGACAATACAAGACCTTTATGGGTGCTATCGGCTCGTTTCGCAAAAAAATCCAATAAAGTTTGTCCCAAACGAGCAGGTGTTCCAAGAACATTTGCCTGTTAAAGGGTTGAAGGCACTGGACATATCGAATATTGGCTCAAATGAGAAGCTGTTTGATGCTCCTCAACTACAAAGTTACATGGCCCGACGGCACCGATTCATTGACCCGATGTTCCGAAGGCGGCGATTGAAGTGGTTGGAAAGGCAGTCAGCTGGCTCGAACAAGGAATGGAATGTGAAACATCGTTTGCCATTCTATGGAACCCATCCAGATGACCAGAAACAATGGCCCACCAACAAGGCTGGCCTCCATGTAACGTGGCCAAGTCCATACTGTTGAGGTCGAGGGCGTCACAGTTTCACATGGAGCTTTCACGGAACTTTCGAGTTCTTTAACGGCCGGATCTTGGACCATGTCGGGCCTCAATTTCACAGACGTGTGCAGTGAAAAAAAGAACCGCAGTGCGTCTTGCGAGTCAGTTGCTGAATCACACACGCACACAATAAATGCTTTTCAGCACTTGAAACCCATCCCGAAGCTAGCAGATACACCGCAGCAGGTTGCTCTGCTGCTGAAGAGAAATCTGGGCCTTGAAGCAGTGGCACTCTTTGCGTTGGACCGTGGAGCTCCACACATTCGACTCTACAGCGACGAAGGTTACCGTCTGCTATGTGAGGATGAGCCACTGGAATTCTTTGAGGGCTTCAACCCGGTTGTGTGACTTTGGCAAGACGCATATGTCATCCAGCAACTGGAAAGAAAACTTACCCTTCGGACATGAATTGAAATGCCCGCATGCCTTTTTGCCTTTGGTTTCGACGCTCCAAATCCTTCCCTGCATTTCCCTGCGCAATTGTGCAACTCTCAAATGTTAAGTCCTTTTGCTTGGTGCCAGTATAGCGCATTGGTTTGAGATTGGAGCGTGAGGTACAAGTTGATGCAGCGAGCAGATAGACATGAGAACAAGGACACCCAGAGAATGATTGAGATGTGGAAAACAGATTGCCGGCTCTGCCAAGAGCACGTATGGCCCGAAGGCCGGGAGCTTGTTGCATCTTGTGAGATTAGTCAGATTGGCGGTGCGAACAGTTCTGCCTGGACTGAATTCCTTGCAGGTCATCATGCCTTCCGCTGCGACCTGTTCCATGACAAGACAATACGAAACTGTTTTACTGAGACTTTGCGTTTCTTTGTGGTTCTTTACTTTTCTTTATGATTCTTCATGGTCTTTCTATGTCTTCCTTGTGGGGCAGTCTGGGGCCAAATTGACTGGTCAAGCCATTAGCTACCTGAAATCCAAGGCACGTTTTCTGTGCTGTTCGCAATTTTATCATGGATGCGACGAAGAAGTTGACTCCTGAAGCTCCAGTCGCAGTGGTAGACAGATGACTTGTTTGGGAATTACCTGTATTCATGAATCGTACATGGGAGAACTCTGAAGAGACAGAGAACTATATAGAGGAGAACCCTCTCTCTCTCTCTCTCGCTTACTGAGGAACAGAAGCGCATCCACGAGATAAATTGTCGTATCACCAATTCGGGGCAGAGTTCAGCCCCTTGGTCGCGGGAAAGCTACGATGCCTGGAAACAATGGACCACCGAGAGTTGCGAGGCGCTTGGTTCAGAGCCCGAAGCGCTTGAGAAATCTCAGCACATCTCAGCAATTTACGGGAATGTGTCATAGTGTAGTGTGTTTTTATGTTCGGCATTTCCAAAGTAAACCTCTTGAGGAGCCTTTCATCGCCCATGTCATTATGTAGCTGCAGTTCAATGGAAATCTGGTGATTTCGGAACCAGATCCTTCTTTCCCTGAAAGGTGCATGACATCGATTGTGACCACGTAATGGCTGGGAGTCTCAGTATTAGGCACCGAAGGCAAACTAGATTACTACGAGCTATTGCTAATAAATATAATTATATAATATACTATATAATCTCTTATTATGTTTATGAATAATAACAATAAACATGATAATACTAAATATAATAATATATGATAATATGTACATATATATATATATAACAAATTATAACATTATAATATATATATATAATAATAATAATATTAATAATAATAGTAATAATAATAATGATAATAATATATATATATATAATACTAATATATATATATATATATGTATAATAATAACAAATAATATATATATATATATAATAAATGACATATATAATAACATATATAATAAGTAATACATGTAATAACATATATAATCATACATCTATATGTAATAATAAAAATATATGATACTTTATATAATTATATATATAAATATAACAACTTTTAACAATAATATATATATATATACATAATAATATATCTATATATAATAATAATAGTAAATATATATATATATAATAATAATAATAATAATATATATATATAGTAATAATAAATAATATATATATATAATAATAAATGACATATATCATAGCATATTATATAATAAGTAATACATGTAATAACATATATAATCATACATCTATATATAATAATTAAAACATATGATACTTTATATAATGATATATATATATTATACAGTATATATATATCGATAATTATTAAGACAACATATTATATTGTATAGGAAGTACAGTAATATTATATTTATTCGCTCCCGTTGATTCAGGTGAAGCTCCATGACTCCACGGCACAGATTGTTACGGAAGTTTTAGACTCTAAGACCAAAACGTGAGTCTTTCACGTGGTGCTGAGACCAATAGCTTTCTTGCCTTTACTGAGCTGACAATGGCTGACACTTGATAGAAAAAAGTGGATGTAGACGGAAGCGGACGTTCAATGGGTTGGAAGGATCCTCAAGATCCAGGGCTGCATTCTGCTCGGTGGTGTTTTCAGAGGGGGGATAGGCGTGATTTTGATGAACCCGTGACACAATGAAGCGGTAGAGCTTTGCAGTTTCATAAAGCATCTCACTCACTGCCAGTCTGATCATGGCTCACGATGCCTGCTCTGGCTGATTGATTTGGTGAGATTCTATGCTCTCGAAAACAGACCAAGGTGCTGAGCCAGGAAGTGCCAAGGTGGGGAGAGTTGGAACCATTAGACAAGTCTAGATTAGATCACAAAAGAAAGCATTTCCCTTTGATTTGCATTGGTTTTTGAAGGACTTGGCAAACGTGTTTTCTGTTTTCTGGAGCCAATAAGGTTAGAGAAATGCTCCACGTTGTTTTCGACATGGACTTGGTAAAGACTAGGTTAACAGTTTTTACAGAGCTCGACCTGCATTTCAATGTCCTTTTCCAGGCACTCTTTCGACGTGGTCAGGCAGCAGCAGGAGATTTGCGGGTTGTTGGGTTTGTCATCATGGCCATCTAAAGAGGCATGCTTGGAGTTTGGCTGTGTCCTGCTTTTGCCATGGCAGGACAAGGTGACTACGAGGCCTGCCAGGGGGTGTCAACATTGCATTTGAGCTTCATAGGAACTTGTCAGAGGCAATGTGCTTCTGCGACAAATGCAATCTGCATGGGTGTGACGTTTCCTTTGAAATCTCGCTGGAAGTTGCAGTCTCCTCGATCAGACTATTTTTCGTTTGCAATTGTCAGGATGCGCTTCAGGATCTTCAAAAAGCTGCTGAGCTGATGCCGCAGGAGTGAACACTATTTGGTTTCTGTTGCTCACAAGCTGAGCTCACAAGTGGATGGCAACCCAGTGCCCATTCTGTCAATTCTGTTGCATTCTGTTGCTCAATTCTATTTTTATATAGCTGGTCGACTCTGGTCGACTCTGGTCGGGTTCCAGAACGATCCAGGACCGCGGTATCCGTGCGGAGATTCAAACCGTCCAGCATGACCTCCGGGCGCACCGCGAGGCGAACAGATATAGGTTGGCCAACTGGGCCAACTTATCAGTACTCGATCAGGAAAGTGAGTTTTCCAGGCTCCGTAAAGCTGCAACACTTGAAGCAAGCTCAATGTGGCAAAACTTCTTGGGGTGTGTAGATTTCTCAAGCAACTGCAACAGGCGCAGAAGAACATGTTTGTGAAGGTGTTCCAGCCTCCAGACCGAGTTCAAGGATAGTCAGCGTGGGGAGTGTGAAAAATATATTTTGACATTCTTTCAGCTTAAGTGATCTCGAGTGCACGCTTGTATTACTAGGCTTGTACTTGGACACATCCAGTTCTACAGCGAAGGTCATACTCTAACGTGTAGGGCAAAGTCTAGTGATACTCGGCCTTAATCTGCCAGAAGCCTTCCTTGATTTAAGGGAGGTCCATTGGAGGTCCAACATGGCTGATGGGTGCACAGTACAAGTGCCTCTGATCTAGAATTCATTGATTTATGGATGCTTTTGGTGACACTTTCCACGTGAAGGAGACAAGCAGTGATGGCCTCCAAGATCTTCAGAAGCTGTGAGGATTTTGGATGTTTCACTATTGTTCAATCATTTAGCCCTGTCGGACTGCTGGCCCAAGTTTGTCAGCAGTTGCCTCTGTCACAACGGCTATTGTTTGTTTCATCCAAAAAATGGCAAGGGAAAAGTGGCATCGGCACAGTATCATTGTGGTCTGTGGTTTGGCCATGCTTGAACGAGATTTTACTTGAAGTTGAGCTGCACGCCCAACCAAAGGCGGCAAACTAGTTATGTGTGTGGGTGGTGAAAGCAAACCTAGTGACCCCTTCTTGAACGCATACCGGTCTTGGACTCACATGCGCAGGCGTACGACTCAGGAAGAAGAGCCAAAAAGAGCCTTGAGTCCCAGTCGTCAGCGGCTTAAGCTGCTGATTTTTGTTTATTTTGCATTTATTTTTCGTGCCAATTGTGGATCTGATATGATCTGATTAGTTTCTTTTTTGCATCCAGAACTTTCCCTTGTCAGCGCTAACATACCAGGTCTGTGGAGCTTGGCCTAGACGACTTCGAAAGCCAAGTGCTTCGGTTGGATACCCAGTCTCTGGAGATCGTGAAGCTTGCAGGCCCCACCTGAAACTATTTACTGCTTATGTCACTGAGCCAGAATGATTGAGCCAAAAATTCTTGCATTTTTGTGAAGTTCTTTTTGTTAGATGAATGTAAATGATTGATATGATTGGACTATCAAGCATCCTGAGGTCGAACGAGGTGTGGTTTGTGCAAGCCTATGACCCCAATGATGGAAGCTGCAAGTCTTTTGCGACGGGATGGGAGGACCGTCAGGCTTGCAGCATGTTTTCTCAGAGCGCACAAAGTGCAACATGTTAGTCATGCTAGGAACATAGATCACACCTGAATCCTTTTGTTTTTTGGGGTGCCATGCTGTTTCTTTTCTTTAGTGACTCTAGAACAACCGAATGACCACTTAGAATGCACTTGCAGGATGTGGCGCACACGTATGGAGAACATGCGCACTTTGGCCGGCTGGATGTCTCCAAAGCGGAACTCAAGGCACACAGATTGATCAAGTCAATTTACCTGGTGTCCAAGAGGGGTTGCCCCCTGGAGAATTGAAAAAACAGGGGCCAAGTGTTTTGCACTAGAGGTTCAGATAGCTTCGATGCTTCTATGCAAATATATGAAAATCAATGCTCTTTCAGGAACACATTGCCAGGGCATGATCGGAAACAAGGCTTTCTTGAATTGCCACCTCTGCAAGCCGGACTGGAGCCATTGGAGTTCTTGCAACAACGTAAGCGTTGGCTCAAGCAACTTCAATTTGAACAGCGTATTATTCAGCAAGCATAGCATGGCCCATGGCGCTGGAAACCTTGCTATTCTCCTTCATTTTCGGTTTCTTGATATATGGAGGATGTGCTTGCGACACGCACACTTGCGATGGCTTCCAATTGTTGCAGCGCGCCAACACTGTTCGTGCAGAGCGCTATGGCACATGGTCACTTCCGCGACATTGGAAAACAGATCGAGATATTGCCAACGTCAGTGACTTCGAACCAATCACATGGGGAAGTCTTGAAAACAAAAGCGTGCATTTGTTTTTTTTTAGTGCAATTCCTGTCTTTGGAAAAGGTGGCAACTATACATCGCTTTGCTGCACCAGTTCGATCAGGGAAAGCAGTTGAGGTACTTGGAAACCGGCAAACTATCGTTGTTTTGCTCTGGGCCAGACGGTTCCCATCGGTTCCCATCGAACTAGAGTTCGTGGTCTTGGCAATGAAGGGGGTGCAACGTACAAACTTCATGCTGTTTTCTTATGTGATTGGCCGGAAGAAGAGAAAAAATGGAGAGGTTTGAAGTTTTTCTTGAGGATGGCGACGGAAAGCAGCTTGGGACCATCGTGGCTGAACAAAAAAATGGGCTGCTACAGCAATACCGTACAGTGGCTTGCATCAGAGATGTGTGGCCGAATGAGAAAATTGGTTTACGACTGCTGCCCCAATGGATGGAGTTTAAGCTTCTGCATGGCGTTGAACATTTCCTCACTTATACGGTCAATCTTGATTCAAAAATCCTAGTCGACTTGTACGAGCCCTACATCAAGAGTGGTGTCGCAACACGGGTTCATTTCAACAAAGAGGTTGAAGGTGATTCACAGCATTTCCACGATTTTCTTCAACCTTCCTTATTGGAAGATTGTTTGTACAGGTTCAAGAACCACGCGACTTGTATTCTCCCTTCCATCGACATCGATGAATATATCAACATGAAGGATGGCAACTTATTTGAAGGTGGCAGAGTGCCTGAAGATTATGTGGGCTCGAGTTGGGACGCAATTGTGGAAAACAGTGGGCTGCAGGCCGACAGAGTTCACTCAATAGCATTCAACATCTATCGCTTCGCACAAATTCAAGCAGAACAGGTGGAATTGTTGTCTGTTCTCCGTGAACCGATTGTTCAACCCACGTGCCCAAAGTATGTGTGAAATGCCATGTGAACACCATCCATGTTCATTGGGCGACGAGTTGGAAGAATGGCACGCAGGGTTTGGCGGTGGTGGACGAAGACATGTTGGTCCTTCATCACTACCGACGGCCTGTGGTCTATGAAAGCAAAATCATCGAAGCCCCAATGTCACAGATGCCTCGATGATCCTCGATGCAGCACTACGTTCCCGGATGTTCCCGGATCAAGGTCCCTCGCAGCCCGCTTTAGGAAACGCCCGGCTTCTTGAGCCGCCTGCGGTGGAGCCACCGTCCAACCTCGATGCGGATCTACCGTCACTAGTGACTGATGCCTGTGTAGCCTGGAGAAGATCCCTCCGCAACTTGCATTGCACGCCTTGATCCGCCATCCGAATAGTGTCTCTAATTGCACTGATCATTCGCTTGTTAGGGAGGTGCAGAAAAAGGAATTTCTGCATTTTCTGCTTACAAAGGTTTGGCGAGTCTGATACATGTCATTACGGCTGACACCAAACTTTTTGTGTGCACGCAGCCTACCTACGAAATCCTACGACTGTCAGTGGGTTCTGTTTGGAGGGAATTTGACTTCATTTCCCAGAGAAAAAAACGGTAAACAATCGCATTTTGTATTGTCACGCCACCTGACGCCATGGCGATGGCGTGGCCTGATGCCTTTCGCATCGCAGATCATTTGGAGGCAGCTCTGGTCACTTCTCGGCAGATCCGTAATGAACTGAGATTGGCGCCAGGCCATGCCAGCCTCAGAGGTGCCCCCCGAAGTCGAGGCATCCGCGAGCAAATTAGCATTGTGGAGCACTCGAATTTAGAATCACAAGAATTTCTTATATCATCATATCTTATCATCATCTAATCATCTTATCATCATGTTGTCATCCCTGTTTGCTGCAATTGCTTCAGCTGTATTTGAGCGATTAACAGCAATCATTTCTCTTGAATTCTATACAGTATATACACATGTATATTCACGTACAAGTCGAGACAACCTTCCCGTCAAGTTCAACTCACGAGGCGGCTCTGCTCTCTTTGGGCTTTCCAGCCCTAAAGGAAGTTCGGAAACACAAGGTGCTGCAAATGGGTTCCTCACCAAACTTCGCATCTTCGTACTATTTCTGTTTGTATTTTAGAAACTCTTTTATCGAAATGAGGACTGCCAGGAACGCTCCGTCGGTTCTAAGTTCGGATTTTGTAGTTTCCGCACGAAAGATCAACTTTTCAGCAGCAGAGAATGCTGCTGGATATAAAAACTTGCAGACGAAGCGATTCTGCTGTCATGTTTCACCTTTCATCGCTGTTTACGATCTTTAAAGAGTCATAGTATGCAAAGTGATCTTCATGGTGTATTGAGTCATGTTTGGTTCAAGTGCAGAGTACTTCGTGCACAGCCGTGCAGAGAAACACATCCAATGGACTAAAACATCATAAAGCATCCAAAACCCAACTCTGCAGTGCCGACAGATGCTGACAGGTTAGCTTCCATGCGACCTACTTCCTCAACTTTGAATCTGGGGAGGTGCCCAGGGCGAGATGTCGGTGCCAAGCGCAAAATCAAACCCTTCCTTCAGCACTTCCTATACTTCCTGATCTTCCTGGAAAGAATTTTACACTCACAAGTACTCACAAGATGCACAAGTGTCACAAGACTGCAACGATCATCAACGATCACTCTGTTCGCGAAGTATCCTGAATTCACGTCGCTCCAGGGTGTTGTCTTGCAGCTTCTTGGATCTGAACTGGGAGACAAAGCGCCAAAGGCTTAGGTACGAAGATCTTGAAGAATATACCGGGAACGTCCACAGTCAGTGGAGTTGCAGAAATTGTTTGGAACTTTTGGACCACGTGGTGCTTTTGTAGCATTTACATGCTTTTACTTCATGGCTCTACATGGCTTTATATGGCTTTGACATGCTTTGACTATTTGAATTTGCGTTTATGGTATTGGCATGTATTGGCTCAGATCGGCAGTTCTGCGGCCGAGCCGTTGCTCGTAGTTGTGAAGATGTCCAGATCCTGGAATGGAACGAGCATGGAGACTGCCGATCAGGTGGGCGATCATGACAAAGCTCTTGATTATGGCCAGCCAGGCTTGGGACTGATCAATAATACGGACGAACATGAAGAGGATGAAGAGGATGAAGAGGGTATAGTATGGAAATGCTATGGAAATGCTATGGAAATGTTTCCTGGGATGTCTTGTGGATGTTCAACTCTGTGAAATTGGAAGCCTCTTGTTCTGATTGAACGTTGCTTGTGTAGCCTCTTTGCCACCTGTGCTGACAGGAGACGAAAAGAAGCATCAAGCCATTGACGAGAATGGAGAAGTAGCGAAAGTGAAGATTGATGGCAATGCTTCTGAAGGGAATGCAACACTCAAGACTGAGAAGTCTGAAGCCTGTAGGCATGTACTGCAGGGATCACACCCTGAAGACTCTGCCTTGGCTACATCCTCTACAACTTACAGCCGGCCTCAGGTGCTTGGCGTAGTTGCCTCAGTCAGGATACAGGTTTTCTTGTTGGATTTTTCAAGAGGGTATTGAACTGACATGAGAGGCGATGGATAAGGACAGACCATCAGATGTTTGTCACTACCTGAGATCGCTGCTCTCTGAGGCCCTTCTCCAACTTCCACTGTGGTGGATTTATGCCCTGACAGACTTTGTGTGGAAGAATCAAGAGCGCGTGCATGAGTCCTGGGGTCCAGTTATGTTTGGCGATCAGGAAGTTTGGTGGGTGAAGATCCAAGAGAAGCCCATTGCCCAGTTGACCTGCCAAGAATGTGCCAAAGGAAACAGCATTTGTCGGAAGAAGTCAACTCACACTGATTGGCGTTTATGCCCAATTTGTGAGCAACATCGTTGTGATCATGGAGACCGATGCACTAGGGGAAACCTGGGATGCAAATGGTGCCATTTTCATGTGACTGGCGAGTGCTTCTTCAATGGCAAAGACCGAAAGAAGCTGATGCGCTCCATCAACTACAGACCGTAGGACTGCAGACTTAGACAGATCCCACTTAGTTCAAGTGGTAGCAACGAGACGAAAAAAAAGTGCACCCTGGTCCAACGCGTGGAAGCACCTACCAATATCTACCAATCAAATCCCCAGCCTCCACTCTCAAAACTCCCGTAACATCCTGTAGCGGCCAATCCATCAGTTCTTTGGCTGAGGCTCTTTGACCTGCAACGGCCAATCAGTGCCGGCTCCATTGCACGAGCAAGCGAGTTAGCGCAGGAGTTGGGGCCCACTCCGACTGGGTGATTGGATGAAGCGTTGCTTTTCACAGCCTTTTGCAGGTCTTTGTGTCATTGATTGTGGCATGAAGTGAAGCAAGTACTCACGTGGTACGAGTATCATTAGAATTTCTGTGTTGCAGAGTGTTGACATGCAAGGAGGCTGGCCTGCGGGTGCCCAAAGTCTTGGCAACCGGGGAGGCGTCGGGTTGAACAGCAACATACTTTGCAAGAATTCGATGTCAGTGGAAACAGGCACGCCTCCCTTTTGTAGCTGATCCTGTATGATTATCCTCTATTTCATGAAGTCCTGCTGCAACTTTCAGCTGTTCCTTTTCACTCAGTTGTACAGGGTCTGGTTTGCCAAGCCAACTCGAGTTGGTCAAGTGTGGCTCTACTTCCTAGAGATACTTGCTGTGCCTCGCCGTTCCCCAGTCCCTCGTGCTGTGACATCCGGAAGGTGGACAAATGGGGACCACTGCACGATGTGCCTTTTGTGGTTTACGAGCTGATCAAGACTGCCACAGTCGAGGAGGGGTGCAGAACACTGATATGAGCAGGAGCCATGCTAGAATGTGAGGAGAGATTGGGATTGTCATGGATTGTCACAATGGTGAGCCTTCATTTCCGTAGCTTCAATTTCCCTCCACTGCCGATCTTTACGATTTTATATAGATGACATTTTAATACATGCAAAATCTCCTTTTTCTGTAAATCTGGACTGACTTCAGGATGAGGTGGTGGCTCCCAAGCAGGATCTATTTAGCGTCATAGCTGCAAGGTACTCAGGTTTTCTTTGGACCAGATTCATCTCTGGCCCCCGTCAGACTGATGACCTGAGGCCTTAAGAGAGACTCTGGGCAGACGCAGCCTAGCAGATGTTGACACGGAACCTTTGCCACGCTTCGAGGAGCATTTGAGAGGGCCCAAAGATCACAGTAGATTTCCTGTTCGTCAATGATGTTTTGACTTTGACGCGCCTTCCCTTGCACTGATGACGCAGAAAGATTAATGGTTTGACGGTTTGACAATCAATTGAAGCCACTTGGAGGACTGTTTTGCGTTCATCGCCTACCTCCAAGAACTTTCGGAACAAATCCAGGCCCTAATAGGCTAACGGTGAAAGATCTAACGGAAGGGACTGTGTGGGATGTAGATGTGGACGGACCATGCAACGGGAATTCGGGGTGGAAGAGGTGGGTCGAAGACGTGCTGTCAGCCTGACTACTGCCACAGGCTTCCGAACTTGTTGAGTGTTGCACGAAGATGACCAAGACCCTAAGAGATTCAGGCGAGAATGATGCTGGAGACAGTTGAACTAAAAGTTATATGTATTTTAAGTAATTTTAAACAAACATACATCAATTCTGATTGTCATTTCACGCGTCAAAGTGACCACCGCCCAAGAGTTGAAATTTGAAGACAACCGCACCGTTTCAGTTTGGAGTTTGGAGGGTGTTTTCCTCGTAGGTTTGACCTCCGCCGCACCAGTGCTGGTACATCAGGCCACTTTGAAGGGTCGGGAAGGGTGGTGTACTGGAGTGATGCTGAGCCTCAAGACTAGGATTGTTGGGTTGAGCAGGAATGTTTGAAGCTACACTTGACATCACTTAACATATTCTTAACATCACTTATATATACTACCATAACTTTTACATAACCTTCTTGGGCATTTGATTTCTTCATTTTTGCAACCCTATTTGCTGTTGTCCTACGGTGCGCTGCTTGATGCTTCCAGGATTTGAACGACGGCAACGTCTTGTGCTCGCCAGACTGCAATGGAACATGGCAGCTGGATGCTCTCATCGATTGGGAGGGTGCAGTAGTAGGCCATGGCAGGGCCTTGGAGCTTGGCAGCTGTGAAGGACTTGACCTTTTCTTTGCCTGCGGACAAGATACACACTAGATACACACTAGATACACACTAGATACACAATGGATGTACTGGAATTCTGGAGAATTCTGGAGATCCTTCAGCCTTCTTCAATCATTTCAATCTTCCGGCAGTTGATGCGCGTGTCGCATATGAGAAGGGCGAGCCGTGGCAAAGCCTGCGGACTTTGGCCAAGGCTTGGTGTCAGGTTTCAACAGCTGGACTAGCTGGGTTTGGCTTTTTGCAGGTTTGCTCTCAGGCTTCCAAGAAACAGCTTCAGGTTATCAAGACGAGATGGATGATGGCAGGAATGGCAGGCTCAATTGTGCATTCGCCACTGTTTGTCGTATGTCATACGCTGGACAGAGTGTAAGGCAATCAGTTTTACAATCATTTCTGATATTTCTGCAACTCAAAATATGTTCAAAGGATTTTTCACACGCTGTGTATGCAGGAAGCTTGAAATTGCCGCGCTGCTGCGCCGAGGACAGTTGCAGTGAGAAGATTGCAGGAATCTGCCCTGTCACAATTACAATCATGTCAAGCTGCCAAGTTGTGTTTTCCAATCGTGAACTTTAGAGCCTTTAGAGTACCCAACCTCCCTTGGAAAATAAAACCGCAGTCTACTAGCAGGAGCTTGTGGAGGACTATGAAATGCTTTGTTCATCATTGGTCGAGTCTGGCTGGCTTCCACAAGTGCAGCCGTTGTCTAGCCTCGCCAAACAAGTGTGACGCACCACACCATGGAGATTTTGCCAATGAACTTACATGAACTTACATGAACTTACCACAAGCTCAAGAAATCTCTTTGGATGCCCTCGGCTGCCGAATGACGGCTTTCTGGCGTGCAAAAGATGGGTTGCCAGTCTTGCTTCCGTTGATCATGTTCTTGTTGAAACGACTAGAGGATCAAAGTGTGAGTTGGCTTCAAACTTTGATTCTCAGATTGCAAAATGAGAGGAAACACACTATGGCAACAAATAGCTTCAATTGGCTATTTATATCATTTAAGTGTATACTGTAATGAACACACATATATATATATATATATATGTATTAGATATATATATATGTATCTCGTTCATATCAGTGCCAATTTAGCTGCCCCTTCTGTGCAGTCTTTGCTACCCTTCAAGCCAGTCCTTCTGCCGGTGGCGCCCAGCTCAGCACGTCCAGAACTTCACTGGTGATATGACATGACATGATATGTGACAAAATAATCTGATGTGCTACATGATTATTCTGTACATTTCTGTACACATGTGCATAGTACGTAAATTATCGTATAATACAAAATATGATGGAATATTAGAATATGCACATGTACATAATGCATATCCACATCATATCCTGGTTCAGGTCTTCAGATATGCCCGGGGTATGTCCGTGGAGCACTGGATGTTCTCGGAGCGCATGGCTCGACAGGAGGAGTTCACCAACCGAATAAGAGATTTGGAGAGGAGGAAATCAAACAGATGGATTCCAAAAAAACATGTTTAAACAGGTTCGCCCCAACCCGGACGTTGCTCCACACTTACAATCGTCATGATAATCATCACCATCATGATCATCATCACCATCATCATAATCATCATCTTTATCTTCATGAGGGATCAGCATTCGCCACCCCCTATCAACAATATGTTGACTGTGGTAATAACATCAACTTTATCTTCATGAGGGATCAAAATTCGCCACCCCCTATGAACAATATGTTGATTGGGGTAATAACATCAACTATATCTCCATGAAGGATCAAACTTCGCCACCCCCTATGAGCAATGTTTTGGTTGGGGTAATGACATCAACTTTAAAACTTTATCTTCATGAGGGATCAAAATTCGCCAACCCCTATGAACAATATGTTGGTTGGGGTAATAACATCAACTTTATCTTCATGAGGGATCAAACTTCGCCACACCCTATGAACAATATGTTGACTGGGGTAATAACATCAACTTTATCTTCATGAGGGATCACAATTCGCCATCCCCTATGAACAGTATGTTGACTGGGGTAATAACATCAACTTTATCTTCATGAGGGATCACAATTCGCCACCCCCTATGAGCAATATGTTGCTTGGGGTAATAACATCACCTTTATCTTCATAAGGGATCAAATTTCGCCACCCCCTATGAACAATATGTTGATTGGGGTAATAACATCAACTTTATCTTCCTAGCCACCTGAAGTCAGACGCGGAGCAACGTCAGGGTTGCAGCGAACATGTTTTCACCACATTTGTCACATCATCGTATGTGTCACCTTTACTATTTATATAAGTTGAAGTGGCCAGGAGAGTGCAGGTGGGGGCAAAGCTCTCATGAATTTTATGGAGAGCAACTTTCCAGAGGCCAATGACGGTGAATTTGTGACATCAGATTCACCTGGGTCTGAGTTTGAATCCGGCAAGATTTCCATTTGGCACAACATAGGCCTGAAAGATCTATTTCCTTATACCTGAAGTAATTGCAACCTTGACTCACGGCCAGTTCCATCGGCATAGTGATGCTTCTGAGCTGAAGCGTTGGTGGAGCTCTGATGGGCTCATAACTGAGAGAACGATCAGCGAATGTGGATCAGACTCTGGGAGCTCGCTGTCTGGATGTTTTTGAGATGAGAACACTGTCCTGGAAAATCTGTCATTTATCCATATTCATATATATATATATGCATCATATTGCATCATGATTTATTCATATTTATCCAAATTATTAATTGTGTCATTTTGTCAAACCATTAAAACCATTTCATTTATATATATTCAATTTATGTTAATTTAGTTGCCGGTTGAGTGCTTCTTCTTTTCCTTCTTGTCGTTGTCGTTGTGATATTGTGACCTGAGGCCCCGCATCTTGGTGGTTGGCCCCTCGTCCAGTAGCTTGGCAGCGAAGGCCAAGGACTTTATGCCAGCAGGGGGCTTAGCAACTTGGCCTGTGGCTCAGCCAGGCGCAGTAAAATCGAGGGTAGGATGGGTAGGTTTCGCACATCTTTGGACATGTTCAATTAAGACTCACAACACAGGTTTTGGCATTGGGTCATTTCTGGATTTTAAGTGTTTGCCATTATCCCATTAGCAATGATTGTTTTGGGTACACAATTTTGGACCATACATAATTAATCTTAATTATTTCTTGTTGCAGATGGGCGTTGAGTTAAAAGCAACCAGTTGTTGCAGATCAGCTCATGCCCAAAGTACGCTGGCTTCAAAGTCTGGATCAGGATGTCACATAAGAATGCAGAAGATGTGATGTTCTGAGGTCTTTCGTATGGCCCACGTTTGGGAAGAATTCTTCAGCTTTGCCTCTGCTGATGCACAGGCAATGGTGGAGGCCGGAGAATCTGCGTTTTGCAACAACAAGGTCTCAGTTGTAAGCAAGACATGCGACTCAAAACATATGAACTTTTGAATCTTGAACATGTCAAACACACTGCAGTCTGACTTGTGCTAGCACAGCAGGTCAGTTTATCAGCAGAGGGTTGTCTTTCAAGACACTGAATTTCCGCTGAAATCAGTCATGTGGGCAGGTGCTGGGCTCTAGCTTTGCTTTCGATCGAGGCTGGTTGGTTAAATCGCAGGCATGAGACAGGCACAAGTCTTGGAAAGAATGAAGAGGAATCAAATATAACATGATCTACGGTCTGCTTTGATGTCTCTTCGAGATGCACCGAAGGTTGAGACGTGCAAAATGCATCTGAAGCACTTTAGTTTATCATGGGAGAACGCCTTTGTCCTTGAAGTGTACAATGTTGTCCAGGCCAGACATGGGCTTTGGTATTGCGAGGATCTGGCGGTGCATGCCTTATGGGTTTCCTCCAGTGTGCCAGAAGTGTTTGTTGACAACAAATAAAGCCCAATCAAGAATTGACGCGAGTTTACCCGCAAGTGCCTTCGAAGAGGTTTAGTGCGGCTCAATATTTGACTTGTTGCTGTAAGTGAAAGAGGCAACAGTGACAGTAGCTGGGGCAGTTTGCTGTTTTAGTCTGTAGAACACATGAGGGAAAAAGGTGCTTAAAGACCTAAGTACTCAAGCTTGCCGCCTTTTCCAGCGAGGACAACCTCGCAATATAGCTCAGGTGCCACAACCAAAGAGCATGTCCGTAATGTCAGAGACATGGCTCCTTTGATCCAGGACCGATTCAAAATCACAGGTTTGATACTGGGTGACAGCCTCGACTCAAACTTGCAAGCGATGTGCGGGCCAGCTCTTGTTTGAGTTCTGAGGAGAACTGCAGCAATCAATCTAGCAGTAGCATTTGATTCCTGACATTTCGAAGGACTTCATTTCAGAGGAAATCCCACGGCAGGCTCCAATAGCGACCATTCGTTGGGAAACCTGGGTGGTTTCGGACACAGAAAGTTTGACTTCAGCGGTGCTTTGCCAGTCTTGCTTTCCAAAGTCTGGGCAGACTTAATATAAAAGAGAATCCGGGCATGTGCATGTACTTCTGAAGTTTTCCCTTCACGTGGCTCATGCAACATGTTCCAAACAAAAAGCAAACCTTTAAACATGTCCAACCTTGCATGCTCTGAGCTGCGTTGATTCGGGTAGATTTCAATTTCTCAGGGTCGCACCGCCCTCAGCTCAGGGAACTACCAACAGCTGTGTGGCGACAAAGCTCTAGCTCAGGGCACCAGCAAAACGTGCGCTGCAGAATCGTGGGCGGTTGATCTAGATGAACTCAAAACGAAGGGTGCTTCAAAGGCAATGACGAGATATGACAAGAATGACAACCTGCTCTGATAGGTACTGCCTGATCTTGGTGGATGCTAGTGCTGAAGAGACAGAGTGGGCCCTGGCATCCCACAGCATTCCAACCTTGTTCGACCTTCGCTGCTTCACATAGACCTGTTCCAAATAATTCTTCTAACTTTGAACATCTTTGAATTGAGGCCAAGGCCCTCAAGGAGCTGGAGTCTTCACAAAAGGCTTACTACCAGGAGGCGAGGCTTGAAGAATGGGACAAAACTCTAGTCATATCATGTCATATCTGAATCTATAAAGTCACTTCGCTCGCAGAAGCATATTTGGAAGAAAGCGACCAGCATCTGGCGCAATCATTCTGTGGTTGTCTGGTTTCTGTGTGCAGGTGCAAGAGCTCAGAAATGCCGGCGAAGACTCCGAGGACCCTTCAAGTCTCAGTGTGTCTACTGGATTCAATTACCCTTGCTGATGCAATCTTATGCAATCTGATGCACTTATTATAACCGTGTGCAACCTAAAGTAGGGATTCACTCTACTTTCCAGCACCTGAAAAAAATACTGTTTCGGTACTGAAATTTTGCAGCTCACTGGGAAGTGCCTGGCAGGAGCCCTTCAGAATTCAGCCGGTGCGAGTGGCATCCTCCAGTTCGCGCGCTTCCCTCGGGGCCATAGACACTATTCCATCCAACTGATGAAGCTTATTTTTATAGCTACTTAAGATTATATACGTGTAAAGTTGTATACGCATGTCACACACACGCACGCATCCACAAAATTCCACAATATATATATATGTAATAATAATTATTATCATTATCATCATCATTATCATCATTATCATTATCATCATTATTATTATCATTATTATTATCATTATTACATGATGCATGTATAATTCCACATATATAATTACGTATATATGATATGTATATCTCAATGTACCCTATTGAACCCAGTGTAAATGACATCCGTGTGACCCACCAAGGATTTCCTTGGAATCCAGCAGCTCCTGGTCCCAGCTTCGCAGCCATTTGGGCAGAAGCATCCAAGGCTGGTGTTGATTTTTACAGGGAACTGCCGGACAAGTTGCTGCCAGCATAGTCAGTTTGATCAGTTTAGCCACTCTAGGTGCAGCAATTCAGTTTCACACGCCATTCTGCCTATAGATCCCGTGCACGTGACATAGAGAACCGGTTGTTTTGAAATGTCCTATTGGTTGTGTTGTGGAATTTGTAGGCGCGAGCCTTCATTGTGGAGATGGAGACTCGCAAATATGCTGCTGTAAAAACTCCGAGCTTGCCCGTGCCTCATGTGGCCACACACCGTGTGGTACGTTCGGATTGATGTGTTCTTCAGCTCTAATGTTTCCAGCACAAGCAGCTGAGGAATGAGATCTTTCAAAGCATCGCATACGAGGCCGGTGACTTGAGTTTCAGTGTCTTTCATCGCCTTTCTATACATCTTGCTACCCTGTACCAGGACTTGAAACTCGAAGACTTGCAAGAAGATGGGTCGGGGCACCTACTGAGCGGTGCAAAGCTTCTCAGGAGATGCAAAGCATACACTTTTAAACTTTCTAAAACTGTTCAAGTTTCGTCAAGGCCACCGCTATCACGACTTTTCTCTGATCCAGAGACCACGCTGCGTTTGAACCCTGAGAATTGTGAGGCTGTTGGTGAAGCGAGTTCACAGGCTTTGGTTTGTAATTCTGTAATCATCTGCATTCCAAGGCCGCGAAGTGAGCGCATTCCTTTCTACCAGCCTCAAGCTGAGTGAGGAAGGCATTCCTTTGCACAGTTTAATAAGTTTAAGCAACTGAGGCCTTGGAGCGATCTGCGCCTATGTGTTGGTGGCACTTGTGGTATCTGTGGCACCGGTGGGTCATCCGAGAGGGTTGAGGTCCTTTTTGTTTCAAATACCACAGTATCACACTAATGTATCCAGAGACAAGGCTGTATACAAGTCGTGTTCATTGTTATCCGGCCACAATTTGACATGTGTACCGCAGAGGGCGGCTCAAGGCATTGATTGGATTTGATTGGGACCTTACCACTGAGTCTATCATGTCAAAAGTCGCTTGCTTCATGAAGTTCACGTTTCCAACATCGGTCAAGTTTCAAAGGACGTCGAGCAGAAGACTTCCACTGGTGGCCCAAGCTTTTCTTGTAGGCTTTGGTTCCCTCTTTGCATCGAAATCCTCCAAGACCAGATGTGACCAACAAAAAGAACCACCCGGGCTACAAGTGGAATTGAAAGATTGGCTCCTGAAGAACGGTGGTCACTTTGCAGCCAACATCACCGTTGAGCAGATCCCTGGCCGTGGCTATGGAATTGTGAACAGGGGAGGAACCTTGTCTCTTTTCTTTACAATTTTCAGGGATTTGTGTAAATCCTGGTAATGAGGGAAGCAGACCAGGTACCATATATTTCGACCGGTGGAAAAACAAAAACGCACCAGCACACTGCTGCAAACGATTCTCGAATCAGTTGAGGAACCATCAAGCAGGGAAAGATTTTGCTGCGGGTTCCTTGGGAGCTGATCCTGTGCAAGGAGCAAGTCGAGAAGGATCCTGCTTTGCAGAGCATTTTGCACCAATGGGCATCAACTGAACCAGAGAAGTACACCAGCCAGGCCATTCGCTTGTGGCTTTTGCACGGCGCAGGACACACTGACTGGTCGCCTTGGTTGTCGAAGCTTCCACACGATATCGGAGCTGGTGCTGAGAGCTTGCCATTGGCGTTGGCCTTCTGCCACAGCGATGCTCTCAGAGGAACGTCCCTTCAACATGCTGCTGAATTGCAGCTCGAGAGCCTGCGGAGTGAATGGGGCAGGCTGAAACAATTCTTGGACGTCAGCTTGGAGAGGTTCATTTGGGCTCAAGCGATGCTCTCCACCCGATCTAGTACACTGCCAATGGATGGCAAAGTCCTGTCCTGCTTGATACCGGTTGTGGACTTTGTGAATCATGATTTTCATCCCAACGCTTTCATCCAGGGCAGGAAGCAAGGGGTCGAGCTTATTTCTTGTGAAGGAATCCCACCAGGCCTGGCAGTTGTTAACCAGAACTTCATCTCCAAAAGTCACAAACTCATATTTTAAAACATTTCTACAGAATTCTACATGTCAATCGGACGTTTTGGATTAAACAGTAATGCACCGTAATCATTTTGACAGTCATGATCCAACTAACTAAATCTGCAAGAGTTTAAGTGGAAAGCCCATCAGGCGGAGAGGTCCTGATTTCCTATGGCCAGCATGATCCATTGCAATTCTTCTTTGCATTCGGCTTCTTGCCGGACGTGGACATAACCCAAATGTTGGTGCCATTGAGGGCCAATAAGCCTCTTCTCTTGCGAGCCAACCAACAGGACCTGCATGTTGATGACGGCAACTGGAATTTCATTCTTTTTCAATTGCGGGATACAACAACGCCTAGATTCTTGTCACCCTTTGCTCATGCTTTGAAGCTCTAACAAAAAGGGGAGCAAATTCAAGCATTTTTAACTTGAAGCATTGCTTTGCTGGCAAGGATCCTACTATGATTTGGTTGTGTGACGATGATTCCTCATGATCACGAACGGCAGGACTTGGAAGAATTGCTCACAGCCATGGGCGACAGACCCCGGGCAGAGCAGATTGCAGCTTTGCAGAGGCTGCGGTCGATTTCAAATCTCAGTGTAGGATCATCAGCACTTTTTTCTTAAGAGCTCTAGATCGGGACTGGCTTTTCTGAATTTGGTATTCCTTGTTTTGCTTGTTTTGCTTTTGCTTGAGCTTCAAACTTTCCAAAGATGGTGAAACATGGTGAAACTTCTGCTAGGTTTCTTCGACTCTGGCATCATGAAATGCAGCTAAGTTTCTCTGAAGCCCAGACCACGTCAGCAGCGTTGGAGTTACGACGGCGCATGGTGAAACTTTTGGAAGATGCTATGGCGGAGGTTGATAAGATGGCAGAGGTAGGGTATCAATAGGTACTAATAGGTACAGTACGAAGTGTGTGCTTTCTACATGCTATGTCATGATGTGCCTGTTGGGTAAAAGCTCTACACGCCACAAGCTCGGCTTACTTGACACAAGCTGCCCGATGCTTCTCAAACTGACGCTTGCTGTAGCATGACAAGAGTGGGAAAGAAGGTTCCCACTCCCTGAGACTGAAGCCTGAATAATCCTTCCATTGCAAAAATATCAGCATATAAAACGTGTAGGTCTCCACATGACCAGACTAGCGTAGGAGTCTTGAGAGAGTTGCAATTGCAAACTTTGAAGAGATTTGACGGGGTGAGAAGAGTTGCTGGACTTGCTCTCGGAAAGCACGGATTTACGACTTGAAGTGCCGTGAAGACCAATCTGAAGCAATGCACTACAACCCGCCTTTCCTGCTTTTTCTGTATTGATGGAACCAGGGAGAGAGACATCTCGGCAAGTATCACGGAAATATGTAATAAAGGAGAGCTGATGCTTTGATGCTGCTCATGCAAGTGCGAAACAGGTGGCAATACATGCTTGCTTGTTAGCCAGAAGCTGTCGCTGTCTTCAGCTTTCGCTGGCTTCAGCTGTTTGTGCTGTCTTTCCACGGCTGGTCTGAGGAAATGGCCTGTCAGGTTGTTGGATTTGGTCCAGAAAGTATGGATCATGCTCAACTACTGCAGCAGCAAAATTTGATTGTCTCCAAACAACTTCTGCTCAAATTTCATCAACGGACCGTCCCAGAAGCTTTATTTGCTGCTGTCAGGCTGTATCCATACCTTCATGCCGTTGAGTGATAGGCAAAGAGATGCAAAAAGTCCGTTGAAGAACATGCACAGGCAGCAAAAATTGTCAGAATGTATTGGACCTTATAACTTATAAGTTATGAGTGAATCATAGCCATGCGGGAGGTGAATAGGTCATTTTACCTCTTTATCTACCCATTTTCCCACCGATCAACCCTGTTGTGTGGCTGTAGCTTCGGGTAGCTTCTGCGTTCATTCTCTTCATGTTTTTTTGATGTACTGTGCTCCATGCGACCTCGTGGCTTCACCGGCTAGAGGGGCGTTTCAAGACGAAAGTACCTTCAAAGACATGCTACACTGCCGTGACACTACTGCACAACTCTTGACTCTTGATATTCTGAGTGCATTGAGTACATTGAGGCGGAGAATGACATTTTAAAGCAGACAGACAACAACTAATGTGTGACACTATCAACAGGGACAGTGTCGAGACTAGGACACAGACAGACACACACACACACTGCTGAAAGAGTGAATACTCTGAATGGAACTTTAAAACGTTGAAGTAATCGATGCCTTGAGGATCCCTACGTGAAATCCTGTCAAGACAAGTGCGTATTGTCTCAGAACTAATCAACTGTGGACTTTGTTCCGGTTCTAGGCTTAGCCGGTCGCCATCATGAAATTGAAAATCACCATTTAAATTGCAGGTATGTGCAGGATCATATCAGTGATGAATGCAGCCCTCTGCGTTGGGCAATGAGCTGCGAACATGAGATTGCCCCCCTGCTTTGTTGATTCAAAACCGTATGTGATAATGGGTTTCACACACAGCATAACATGGATAACATACTTCATTCAGCGGATTCTTGCTGCTTGGAGTCCCCCATGTTGATCTATTTTCATGAACAGGAGCATGAACAACATTGCAGGAGGACACGGTAGCGCACAGCCTGTGATTAAGAAAATATCATAAAATATATTTCTTGAAGCGCAGATATAAGCAATACTTGTTCGAAATGACATAGTTTGGGCACAGGGTCAGACACAAATGAAACATCACTGCTTGAAGGTGTCCTCAGGGCAATGACACTTTAAAGAGTTTCCCAACCAAAGTAGGCCAGTTGATTTCACGTTGCTCTGGTTGCATTAGAAACATGCTGAGGAATTGGAGTTGCTGCAACTTGCAGTGCCGTTGGTAGTGCTTGTTTAGCACCCAGTGTCTTGCGACACGGCTGTTCGGAGCAGCGATTTGCAAGATATGCTTTCTGTATCTTGCTGAACTTGTCCTTACCTATTGACTTCAATTTGCACTGCCGAGTCTTCCAACGCGATCTGAGGTGGTGGTCCTGATGCTGGCTTCTCCGACCTTGAACCGGAAAATCATCAGCAACTTGCTCACTTGACGGGCATGCTTCTCCTAATCGGAGATATTCAGAATTTGATGTCCTCCTGCCGCTCTTCAAATTGCAAAGGTATTTTCTGGTGTACGCTGAACTCGCCCTTGCCTCAGATGCTGTTTCACTGCAGATAAAAGTTGCTTTAAATAGCTGACCAAAAATCTCACCTAGGTCCAGAATGGAATGCCAACGCAACTTCTAGATCCTTGCGATGCTTAGGCGAGTTGCTAAGACCCACAGATGAGTTGCCAAATTCATTTTTACGCTAGTGGTGGTTGCAGGAGCAACGAAAACTTTTGTGGATAATCAAAATCAACGACATGCATTGCACATGAGTTTGGTCAATTGAATCTCAAGTTATTCTGTTTGTAACCTGAATAGACATTTGGAGAAAAGCAATCATCCAGCGCTGATTCAATATATCCACTCTTGACTACCAGAGATTTCAAACAAAGTGCTGGAGGTTGCTGCGTTCTCTGCTAAACTAGAAGTAAATGATAGTAAATGTCACTAAGAGATCTACTGTAGTCTGGGGTGAACTGGTGAACTTCCCAAGATTTGGGGTTTGCCAAATCTCCAAGATCAGCCAGGATTGTCTGATGATTGTCTCTCGCTCCAAATGAGGTGCGCGTGGCGTTTGTGCGCTGAAAGTCTGACGCACGTTAGCAGGGTTGAGTGGACAAAGTGATCCAAGAAACCCAGTCCGGAAGAAGTGACCCAGAAGAGCCCAGGCAGGTGTTCAGTCTTTGAAGATGTTTGCATCCCCTGATTTGAGGCATGGTCCATTGCAGCATCGAGAATGCATCTCTTGACATTACCTGTAGCCGCTATAGCCCATAGCCACTGAGTCATTGCATGGGGTTTTCATTTTTTCATGGAGGTTTAGCTTTGGAGGGCTATTTTGCTTGTTTTTTTTTGTTTTCCAGCCTGGCTTTTGTGGCTTCTGTGGCTTCTGTGGCTTTTGTGAGTATGTGGCTGTTGTGGCTTTACAATGCTTTACCTATCTATCTATCTATCTGTCTGTCTGTCTGTCTATCTATCCATCCATCCATCTGTCTGTCTGTCTGTCTATCTATCTATCTAATCTGACCCAATCTAATCTGACCCAATCTAATCTAATCCAACCTAATCTAATCTTATCTTGTCTTATCTAATCGATCTAATCTATCTAATATCTCTAAAGTATCTATCTAATTTATCTAATTTATCTAATTTATCTGATTTATCTAATTTATCTAATTTATCTAATTCATCTATCTAATTTACCTAATTTTTTAATTTATCTAATTTATATACATAATTTATCTAACCTAATCTAATCTAAACTAATATTATCTTATCTTATCTTATCTTATCTTATCTATTCTACCTATCTATTTAGCTACTTACCTACCTACCTACCTATCTATCTACCTACCTATCTATCTATCTATCTCTCTCTCTCTCTCCCTCTCTCTCTATCGATGATCCATCCATCCATCCATCCATCCATCGATCTATCTGTCTATCTATCTATCTATCTATCTTTCTTTCTTTCTTTCTGTATACACACACCTTGTATCCCTACATGTATCTTTATCCAACCCTCAACCGACTTTGAATAGACCCTAAACCAACCCTAAATAGCTATATATAGCCTTAAATAACCATAAATAAACCCTAAACCAACCCTAAATAAACTTTAAGTAAACCTTGAACCAACCCTAAAGAAACCCTAAACCAACCCGACATAACCAACCCTAAATAAACCCTAAATAAACCGTAAACCAACCTTAAACCAATCCTAAATGACCCTAAACCAACCCTAAATAAACCATAAACCAACCAACACTATGATAGCATCCAATGCCACTATTTAGACACAACACGGTTGTGTTTCAACCCATATTCTACAAGTTCACCAGGTGCATGTTACCATGGAAAATCAATTGAACCCATAGCAAACTCAATGAAAACTATTGAAAAATCGATGAAAACTTTGGGTAAATCAATGAACAAAGTGGAAAAATCGATGAACAGTGCAAATGGCAAATTTTAGCTTCAAAATTCAGCAAAGTACCGGTTTTTGCTCCAAAATGTAGCAAATAGCAAGGAAAAGTGGAACAACGTCGGATTCAGAAATTCCACTGGATTTAGGAAAAGTGCCCCAGACTGAAAAAAACGATTAAATTCCCCCAAAAATATGCACCCTTTAGCTTTTGGAGAAGCAGTGGTTTAGTTGACAACTGTTGACAGCATGAGACCAGCACTTGCATGGATTACTCAAGCGGTCGGCCGGAGCGGATGTCAGACGCGGAATGGAGGTACCATTGCCCCTCTTTGGGTTAAGCGTTGGCAGAGAGGATTCTTGCCCAAACCCAGCAACCAATTCACTGGCTTTGCACGCTTGGCTTGGTTGCCAATCGTACGGTGTTGCTGATGTTCCTTCATGCCTTAAAACACAAACTCTGATTCTCGCATGATTTGCATGGATCCTTGATGTCAAAGCGCCCACTTTTGCCATTGGGGGCTTAGCTTCACACATCATGTGCGAAAGCTGATGGTTCTCTGAAGAATGTTGATCAACCGTCGAAAATAATCTTGCTTTCGCACAGTTCGAAAAGTGCAAAGCTTTCGCCACTTGGTCTTCTATGGAATATGAATCTGAATAATATTGAACCATGGAAATGAGACGGGAGACAAATGACTCCTTTGGTACTGAAGTACGGCCCGAACAGGCTGCTGTGATTTGAGCATCCAAGTTCGTTTCTTGCAAGCTTCGGGTTGTGCGGCTTTGGTGTTGAAAAGCATTTGCATACCAACTGTGACTGTCCTTCTCTTTCACACCAATATTAGGTACAATGCAATTCCAAATGTCTC